AAACAAAGTTGACACCCTTACCAGGCATAAGGGATGAACTTAAAAAGTATTACATAGTTAATAATTCAAGAATAATGTGTAACTAAAGATAGTAATAAAAAAATTTTTTAAATTATTATTATTCTGTAAGTAATTGAGTGGGTTATGATAAAAAAATCATCCTGTATATATACAAATAATGCGTCTTAAGTACGTAAACGTATCATGCACTAGGTATAGCCGTGTTTTGTTGGCGGGCGGGTTAGACTAACGTTGTACCTGAGGTATAAACGGCGGTAGGAATATACGGAGTGTTCAGTAAGTCAGGAAACGGGTTTCTATTGTTCTCGTTGTTTGTAACAATGAGAACAATAGATACCCGTTTCCTGACTTACTGAACACCCTGTATATATATAATATTAATGACAAGCACGCGCGTACGGGTAAGACAACTAAAAATAAATTTTTATAGGAATAGTGTGCCGTCGTTTGAGAGCGAGGCATGGGGTGGGGTGAATGCGTTATGACAGTCTAGTCTAGACGACGGAATATGCGATAACGCGTGGCGTTTGGAGAGTTACAAACATACATACATACATACATACAGGTGAAACTATTATAAGCGTGTTAATAAATGTTACATCTGTGCAATCATCAGTGTTGTTCATAGATAAACAAAAAATATTTAGCTAAGATAAAAATAATTCCATATAATAATATTTACGATTTACGATTTAGATATTCCATTGCTATGTAAAACATTTCATCGGCCATTTTTTACTGAAATTTTTATGATTTTTAGAAAGCCAATAACACCTAAAAATTAAGTTTTCGGGTATATTTATTTTTTCTTCATAAATTACGTTATAATAGCTTTAAATTAAAATAAGGTAGGTTTTTTTGAATATTATTCAAATTTGTTATGATGATCATGAACACAATACTTTGGTAAATTATTAAATTTTCAAAAACCAGTATATCATTGGCAAGGAAAATGTTTAAAGTATTATAAATAAAAATTTTGCTGTATTTCTTCCAATTTTCAAAAAGTTACTTCAATATAAAGTAAAAACTAAAAATATCAATATTGACTGTTTTATGTTAACATCTAGGGACGTGATGTGACCCAGTGAATCAATCTGTCCCAAACTAAACGCTGATGTTCATCTACATTGTTTGCTGTTAGTTCCCGAATAGGTTTCATACAAAAGCTTGAACAGTGTTACACACCTCGTCCTCTCATTGGCTACCTCAGTCAAAATGAGGTTATGTCAGGTCGAAAGCTGCTGTCAAATCTGTCAAATCGTAAATTAGTGCCGACAAATATCTGGAGTAGAGGCTAAAGAGATGAAGACGAATATTTTATGGAAATTAATTTTTTGGGACATTTCTATATCGATTGATGGGAATTTTTCAAAATTAGGGCACAATCAGCTTCAACTAGATACGTTTGTAATTTTTTAAGAAACTGTTGAGCAAAATCGATCCAGTAGGAGGAGAAGAGTAATCACGTATAAGGATATAAATTTAACAATAATTCATCTAGTTTATACATGTCAATACTACTAGCTACGCAACAAAGGTAAAATAATCGTATAGTTTTTAAATAACGTTAAATNCTAGCTACGCATCAAAGGTAAAATAATCGTATAGTTTTTAAATAACGTTAAATTATTTTACTATAAATTTAAATAGGGGAAGTAAATGTTCGGGTAGATTTCGTTAGTACACTCAATATAGCATAAAAATTTAAGATCAAATCTTTTTTGAACACTAATTGTGTATATAAATTTTATATGATTAATTTAATGAAAATATATCACATAATATACATATTAACATAGGTAAAAATACTTATCACAAGGGACTTATTGCTCTGTAGTTAAAACAGTAATAAACCGTGTTACGTTTTTGTTTTAATTACTTTTTGAAAATAATCGTGTGTAGACTATTAAATATATTATTTTAAGTGTAAACATCCGTTAAAACATAAGAAATTTTTTTAGAAATTAGTGTCAACTTCATTAACGTAATAATATAAAAGATTAAAAAACAATGCACTTCCCCTACAAAAAAATTTTTTTTGAAACTTATTTTGTATACAATTATAAGACGGCTAATTATTATTGGATTTTAAAACGGGAAGTAACCAAGAAGTCTTAAAAAAAATCAATGAAATGAAGTTGTCATTAAAAAAAAGATATCTAACAATGATTAAAATAACTATCATGAGAAACGCTTCAATGCAAATCTGTAGATATTGTTTCATTTTAAGAAATTGGTGGAATATTCCAAAGGCAAAATGAATTCTTATTTCCTTATTTGTATACTGAGTATAAGTTTAATGATAAATAAGTGTAATATATGAATACATATTTAACAAATTTAAATTTATTTATTAAATATTTAATAAATCTGATCCCATTCGACGGCCACTGCACATAGAAGATAAGTTGTCGGGACAAATTAACTAATAGTAAGTAACATAAGCTTTATTTTAACATATTTCAAAGACGCAGTATTTTCGGAACATTTACAAAAGTTAAATTGAAAAAGTACTACTTTTTACACGTATGTTTCAAGTTTTGAACCCTTCTATATAAGAGGACAATTCCCGATTTAAAAAGAAAGTATGTCGGATGAAAGATATATATAATGTATTTAGAAACAAAAATTTGTGTTGATTTATACATTTTTCAAAAAGATATACTAATTTAAATTTGAAAATATAAAATCGAAAATTTTAACACAAAAATAGCATATTTTTGACTTTGGAATAGTATTTAGTACGTAGATATTAAATCGTTAGAACAAATTTTTTTTTTAATTTATAGTAAATATCATGAGCTTTAATTTAATATATTTTTAGACAACGTAGAATATCTGAAACATTTTCAAAAGTTCAGTTGAAAAAATTGACTTTTGTGAAATATTTGCTAATTTGAATCCGCGCCTATGGGTAGGTAAAGGGTCAGGTTTAAAAAAAATTGATATCAAATAAAAGAGAAATATTTGAGGTTTCAATATCAAAATAAAATTATTTTGATTCGTTCATTTTGCAATAAGTTATGGCAATCTTTAGAAAAGAAAAATGAAAAAAATGTCGAATTTTACCAATTTTTAAAATGGTAATTATTTGTGGAATTTTCACCATATAGAGGGAACGAAGGGAAAATTTTTAATTTTAAAATGCAATGTCATCGACTAAATACGATTTGTGATCTTTTGATGTATTGTTGAAAGAAATCGTCCGGTAAGAACTGGAAAAAAGTGGCGACAGACAAAAAAAAAACCCACCATAGTAAAATTAATAACTTCTCAGCTTCGCATCGAAGCTAAAATATAATACTAACAAAAAATTTTATAGCTAATAGATTATCTGAATACTTGAGTTATTCAATTAACTTTTATTTTTTTAAGGAGATATTGAATTTCCTCTAGGCAATTAGTAGATAAACCCAACTAAAATATTTACTTAAAAGTAATAATGTTGTGTAATGGTTATGGAGAGTAATAATATTCATCAATATAATAAAAATAATTTCTTTCATCCATTATATAATAAAATAAAAACAAGTTTTTTGCTGTTTTAATAAATTTTAAATTTAAAGTTTTATAACGTAATTTGTATATAGTGTTGGGAAAATTCATTTTTAATCGGAACTTGTTCCGTTTCTCATTGACTTTCTAAAATAGGGACTCGTTTCTTTAAATAAAAAATAATTCGTTCCCCTATTGTATTATAAACCTAGTTTAAAATTATAGTATAGGGTATATTTTAATCGTAATTTAATAAACTAACAATTTTAGGACGAGTATTCAGTAGTTATTAACAATGTAAAATATTAACTAGTGGTAAGGCGCAGATGCTTCTATTTTTAGCACTAGACATTTCTGGCCTCACACTTCCCCCCGCCTGGGTATATAAATGTTAGAATCTAAAAGAGTTTATTTACCTATTACTATATTTTGTATTTCACATAAAAAGTTTGAAGTATTTATATACAGAGTGATAGAAGTCTGGTAAGACACTCATTTTCTCAGAAACTATTGAGAATTTTAAATTTTTGTAAAGAGAAAAAATATCAAGTTCAAAAATCTCTACATTAATATGTAGTCAAATCATTATTATTTTCGTCCTTATATAAGGTATAATAACCCTTATTTATAATTGTCTTAAATGGGAACCCTAATTTTTAATTTTATAATATGATAGAAAAAAAAATTACAAACAACTTAGTTAATACAATTTTTTGTTCAATTAACCGTTCGTCCGTTATAGCTTGTTAAAGTTAAGTGATTTTAGTCCAATTTTCTATTGTTATTTTCTGTATTAAATACAGAAGTCATTATTTTTGTTTGCTGTTGTATAAACCAAATTTTATTGATCAAGTTATGACAGGTAAATTAGCTATAATAATTTACGGCGCAAATGAGTGATAACAATAATAGATTCAAATCGGGATTCGGTGTGTTATTAATAGCAAAGACTATGGGTATGTAAGACTTACAAATAATTTGGAATTGAAAAATTGAATTATTTACCCTTTCTATCATTATAAGTAATGGTATTAGAAGTTCTTATTTATTTATAAAGCTGATAGGGATACAACAAAGTCGTATTATCAATCAACAAAGTTTACATTATACTACTATTATGGCAAATAAAATCGTTATTTTTAGTATACAGGGATGTTATAATATTAAGCTACCGATCAACCACAATCGTAGTATTTATAAACGATGTAACTAACTTAAATAAAAAATATTGTATTTATAATATGAATTGATTTTAATGCTTGTAGTGATTTAATAGTCAAGTATATTTATATCTAACTAGAACATTTTTGACATAAGAGTTTCTTGGTCTTATCTTATTCTTGCTTTCTATTAAAAAGATGTCTTAGTACAATGAATTTGTATATTGATAAATGGTAAGTACATAACAAAAATGTAATATTAAAATACATTTCGATGGATATTGTTTGGTTTTTATCTTCCTTATGATACTCAACATTTATAAAACATTATTATCTTCCAAGCTGTTAAAAGAAAAACATCGCCACACTTTAAAAAAAATTAGTCTATTCTCATTAATATAAACTATAAAATACTAGAAGTACAGAAGATTGTTTTATGTAACATAATTCTTATACAATGGGTGAGTTTTTAATAAATAAATTGTCTATCATACTTTAAAAGATTCTAACTAAAATTTATTAAGCAATAAATAGAGTCATCATATAATATAATACAATATCACGCAATAATTATAATAAAATTTATCAAATATTTCTGAAAATGTTCTAAGAAAAATTATTTTTAAACATAAATTTTAATACCAGAATTTTTACGTTTTACGTGAAAACATGTTATTACATATGTTAAGTAAAATTTAATTAAATTTATTCACATTAAAGTTTTTCAACTTCTTAACTTGTTCATTAATATGAAAAGTATTTTCTTAGATAATTTTGATATTAACTATAATAATATTATACAAGTAAATATCGGTATTTAATTTAAATGAACTTTTGTTCTAAATTTTTACATTTGTGGAAAATATTTTTTTTCCCGAAAAATGAAGTAGTTGTCAATAATAACCAATAATTAATATTATAAATATACTTGTGTTGGAATCTTTTATATTATTTTTTATTATTACAATGCTCCTCATTAATATTTTCTAATTACATTAATAAAAATAACATTCTATTACTGTAGGTAGCATTAATAGTTCAATAAAATTTTTTTATTGTTTCATAATTTATATAATTTAAAGATGTTAAAAATGATTTGCTAAAATGAGCAAAACTAGGTTTTTGATTAGAGCTGAATAAAATGAAAAACTAAATTAAAGATAAATTATTTCATTTTGCACATATTACTTTAAAATTTTATATTTAAAAATATTATATAAAATGGTTCTATTTTTTATACGTATGATTCAAATTTTGAAATGCTACTGTATAAGGGTAGTGATCCGATTTTTAAAAAAATATGTCGATGAAAGATAAGTATCAAGCGTTTCTAAAATAAGAATTGTATTGATTCACACATTTTTCAAATAATTATAGCAATTATAAATTGAAAATATTAAATATAAAATTAAAAATAACTTGTTTTTAACTATGACTGTCATTTGAACATTGAAATAATTGTCAGGAAAATTTTTTTTCTTATACTATGTAACATTATTAAATTAATGTTCTTTAATTTAACATATATTTGAAGAATGGACTATTTCCATAACATATTCAAAATTTAAGTTGAAAAAGTTAGATTTTATATAAAAGTCGCCATTTTGAATTCGTCCTTGTGAAACGAGATAAAAGGGTCAGATTTTCAATAAAATTTATTCAAATAAAAAAGAAATACTTAAAGTGTTTACAAAAAAATTTTTTTTGATTCATTAATTTTTAAAAAAGTTATCAATATTTTATGAAAAAATAAGTTACAAAATCATTGAAACTATCGATTTTAAAATCATAATTTTTTAACGAGTTTCTCCTTTTTACGATGAATGGGAGAATTTATTTTAATTTTCAAGGGTAATGTGTTCAACTATATTCGATTTGAAATATCGTTCAATTTTAATGACATTAAAACTATTTATTCTCAACATATCGAAACTAAGCTAATAGCTAACATAGTGCTAATAATAACATTACGCATTATAATACAGTTATAATTGTAATATAATTCTAATAAAATAAATTAACCACATAAAAATACTTAATTTTGTAAACTGTTATTAGGCGTGGATACAATAGACCATAAGAGCAATGTCTCCCCTCCCCTAATTACAATTATTTTCTATGAGAATGTTCTTTATAAAAAATAGCTTTCGTCTTAGCAAAAATGTTAGAATGTCCCCATTAAAACCAAAAAAAATAATGTTCTGCATATTTTCCAGACTGTTAATTTAAAAATACTTGACTCTAAAATATATTTTACTTCAATAAATAATTTTACATAAAATATTTTTCTAAAAAAATGAAATAAAAAATTACATAGGATTATTTTTGATCATTAAATTAAAGAATCTCTATCAAAATTTAATTTTCAACTTAATAATTGTAAAAGCCATTTAAAAATTAACTATTCTTAAATATTTTAGGTAAATATTGTTTGTTAATAATATTAATTTTGGCGATGAATGCATTTGATTCTTTTTGTAATAAAACCGAAGAAAATTGTATTTTTGGAAAAAAATGGGTTCTTCTTGTGGCTAGCTCAGAAGGTTGGTGGAACTACAGACATCAGGTATTATATAATCAGAAAATAGGAATTTATGAGAATTTAATTTAGTAAAGTTTTTGATAATGTTTGAAGGTGTAATAAATAAATTATAAGAAAGTTTAAATCATATTTTTCGTTACATATAATATCAAAATAATTTCTGCTTGCACTTAATAATATAATGATCCATATCATTAAAATGCAAATATTCGATTAAAAAAAAAATTAAGCATAAACTCCGGGAGATTATCGTTTCCGCCAAACCTGAATAAGGTCGCTTTTTCGTTTCCGCCAAACTAATCTTCTACCTGTCCAACTACTAAAAAATTTGAAAACCATTTTGTTTTATCCATAGTTCACAATGACGATCCAGTATCGGTTGTAACATACGGCCAGGTTAGTTGCCAGTACCAAATTGTTTGGCTTTTATTGTTGTTACGTTCAGGCCTGTATTTAAGATTTTTGGGTGGGGTATTAATATTAATGAGCAAAATAAAGTAATTTTTTGTCCTATCACTATCAAATGACATTCGCCCCCAAGAATTTTTGACCCCCATAACCACCTTTAAATATGGTCATGTCGATTTGAATAATTATTTATTTTATCACATAGGCATAACTTGATAAAGAAAATATGACGTTTTACTTAAGGTAAATAAATTCTAATAGATAATTATCTTATGTATATATATATATTTGTAATGAATAATAAAAATATAGTTAATAAGAAAATAAAAAGTCATCAAAATATTGAAATAAATTTCAAACATTTACAATAAGCTTAAAAAATATCTAATACCTGTAATAATATAATAAAAAATAGATCTATGATCTATAAATTTTTCAATAGTTGTTGAAAACTAATTTCATTGTTATTAAATTCATTTATTGTCTCTTTTGTTTTTCTGAAACGGATTTCAATTTTATTCGGTACGCTTTTTGAGGCATTATCAAAACTATGTATTTTAATGTAATTATAAGATTAAATATTTTTTATTAAAATTTAAAAAAATGTATAAATAGAAGGATGCGCCTTAAAAAATTGTTCATTAAAATGTGAATGAAATAATGATTCACAATTATCAATGCACTGCTATCTAATAACAATAAAAAAAATAGTAAAAAGTTCGATTAAATGAATAGTAGATAATTATTATCGGGTTATTTTGGTATATATTTTAACCAGTGGTTCTCAAGCTTCTATTTATAGACAGGTATAAACTATCGGTTTGGCGGAAACGATGAACGCCCATAAACTCTTTATGAAATTATTAACTCACGCTAAGAAAATCAAAGAAAAAGTAAATGACAGGACTCAAATATACAAAATGAGCAAAGTTTTGATCTACGAGAAATATTTAATGAACACTCATTTTTAAACGAACAATAAATCATTTGTAGACCGATACGCAATAACAATAAAAAATAAATCAAATAATTCGTTGACTATAATTACTTACGCCTTGCGGATCTCGACGGTGACTGAAGTAGTCGGAGTGGCAACGGAATCGGTAACTCGGCGGCCTGTTATCTAACATATGCATTAGGGTGATTTTTATCCTTAAAAAAAAAGGCACGAAAAATAAATAAGGAATACCTTAATATATACATACATACATGAATATAATAAAATATCATTGTAGTACAATGATATTTTTCTTTTTCTTTTTCCCCGCCTTAATTACAACTACTTAGGGTCAGTTACCCTTATCCTAAACTTTCACAATGATATTTTATATAAATGATATTATTTACAATGATTTTATACTTTTAAATTGGAAATATCAAACAAAATGTATTATTAGATTAAGCTTCGAAATAATTCATCTTAAAGTAATAAATATTTATTGTATAGTTTTACTTATAATATATTACTCTAGGCCGATGTTGCCCATGCCTACCAAATTGTCAAGAGAAATGGTATACCAGATGAAAATATTATTGTAATGATGGTCAATGATGTTGTAAATAGTACAAAGTATGAAAGAACTCTATTCTATATTTTAAAATAAAAATTGATAAATAATTTTATCCATTATAATAAGAATTGATCACTTGTGGCTAATAAATTAAATAAAATTAAAACTATTTTAAAAATATCATTAATTTAAAAACTAAAAAATATTAAAAAGTCGTATCCGCGACTTTTCAGTCATTTTTTTTTTTTTGTGTATCTTTTGAGTTAAATATTTTTAATATTATTTATTTTTTTAAATTATTAATATTTTTAATATAGTTTTATTTTATTTTATCCGTTTATATTGAATCTTTAAATTCTAATCAAAGTAATAAAGTCTATATACTTATACTCTAAAGAAATTGTTTTTTCATTTTTAAATAATTTTTAACGTATATAAAATTGCAGCATTTACTAATAAGTATTATTTAACATTTTTTTAGTTAAAACTTATAAAAAATTAAATAAAAAAACTTTATCAAACTTTTAAGGAAATTTTATATTCCTACTGTTTTACGAACAATTAATAACATTATTTACGAATAGGTAAATTGTAGTGTAACTGTATTATTCCTAGTCTAGATATTTCATAATATAAATTCACATAAAACAATAATTAATAGTATTCTATAGAAGTATATACTTTTATAGTAATTTTTTCATATGAAAATTCTACTTAAATTGTTACTCTATATAATATTACAGCAATCCAGCTCCAGGAACATTGATTAATCAGCCTAATGGAACCGACGTATACAATGGCATTAAATTAGATTACTCTGGTAAAGTAAGTGTATTTCAATCCATATAATTTAGTTGTTGTATATGTGTAAATTTTAATGTTCATAGATAAAATGTTTATATTTTATTTAAAATAGTACAATAATTTAAATCAACTATTTTAAATACAGGATGTATCAAGTCGAAATTTTCTGAACATTTTAAAAGGCAATAAAAAAGCTATGTCCAATATTGGATCGGGTCGAGTTATTAAAAGGTGATTTTATTTGTTTTTGGTTAAAAAACTAACATAAATAAGCATAAAATTATTAATTGATTATTATTCGCATTGAAACTTTATTAAATTAAAATATACTAAAAAATAAATTAAGTAATTAAGTAAACTTTCGTAGTGTCAAATTCCAATATTATAACAACTTCATAATATAATATTATAGTCAATTTTTTTTTGCATGGATAATTTTTATTGATTTCCATAATATATTTTATTTTCTGTAGTTTCTCAATGCTAAATTATATTTCCTATATCTCATATATACTATTATTTTAAATTTATTTAATTAATACAATGGTCAACTTCTTACCTTTTTTCGGAAAAATAGTCTCACGCGTGAGCCAATTTTAACTTCTCAAACAAAATCTTAATAATTTGATTATATTACTTTCCCCTTGTTTTATAGTGGACCACGTGATAACATATTCATTAACATTGTGGATCATGGTTCAGCTGGTTTACTAGCATTTCCAAATGATTTATTGTATGCCGATAAATTAATCAACGCCCTTAAATATATGTACGCCAAAAGAAATTATCACAAGGTATATATAAACCGAAGATATGATGAATATTTTATTTCTTTTTTTCATTAAGTATATCTTCAGCTTTTAAATATCATTAATTAAATTTTAAATAGTAAGGTTTGTTAAAATCTGTAATCTTTTTTCAAAAATTAAAAAAATAATAAAATAAAATATAAATAATGAGATTTTGATATAAAGAAATGTGTCTAATTTCAGAAATATTAACAAGAATTACTTATCAATAGATTGAATAAAATATTTTTATTTTACAAAAGTGATATAATTGACATTTAAGTTTTAGAAATATAACTTCAGAAACTATATATGCTTAATATAAAAAACTATAAAAGCAACAGTTTTTTGATCATAAATTAATTTTACAATTTTTATATGTAAAATTTTCGATATAATCTAAATTGGTCTACGTAAATAATTTTAGTTCAATAATAATTTCAATAATAAATAAATTTAGTAAAATTGTATTATTATTTTACAACTTTTTTATTTTTTGTACTTCTAAACTTATAAGTTAATTATTAATTTATTTAATTTATTAGGAGTTTATTATCTAATTAATATATTGTTATGATACTTTATAATAATATATATATTTTAATAATTGATTGATTAATTATTTCAATAACTTATACTAGATTGTATTTTATATCGAAGCATGCGAAGCTGGCTCAATGTTTGACGGATTACTTGATGATGAAAAATCAGGTAAAAAAAAATTAAAACATATTTATACATTTTTTTTTAATTTTACTAACTTGTTCTATTAATATAGAGTATACTTGATGATCTAATCTATCCAATCATAATTCCTTTGGAAATAATAATATTATTGACAATTTTCGATTACTCAAATTTCTGTTTTCCTTAGAGATTAAAGTTACTCTTAGTTACTAAAAACTAAATATATTAATATTTTAACCCATTAGTTATCGCAATCACGGCATCGGGTCCCAGGGAAAGTTCATATGGATATTATTGTGGAGTAGAAGAATGTGGAGATTACAACACGTGTCTTGGGGATTTATTCAGTATATCTTGGATGGAAAATTTAGATGAGGTTTATTAAAACTTTTTAAAGACAGATCAATTATTTAAATAATAACTTCTAAAACAATTTGTAGATTATTTTTGAAACAACTACGAAATCAAGAACAATTTTCAGAGATTTTGAAGAGTCTCGAACTGCTGTGACTCAAAGTAATGTAATGGTTTATGGAGATTTTCATGTGGGCTACGAAAAACTATCCTCATTTATAGGATTTCTCGATGATAAGCACGTTTTAAAAAAAAGCGATAAGGATCCTAAATTGTATAATATAAATGTAATTTTTATAAATTTTATTTTAATGACAGCTTAAATTTGTAACTCACGTCCAACTTAGTAAAAGATGCTCAAGGATGATAATATCTCTTTGAAGAAATGTTTCTTACAGTTTTATACAGAAACATTTTTTACGTAGTTTAGTCTTTATATGCGTATAAAACACCCTGTACAAAATGTTTAAATACAGATTTAAACTCCATACTTTAATGTTTAAATTAAATTTTTTTTTTATACTATTTAGTCAGCAATATCTAGTCGCGAAATAACAGAAATATTTCTGCAACGTCAATTGTTGAAATCCAATGACTCTACAAGATCGTTAAAAGAAAAAATACTGCTTATAAGTCAAGTAAGTTAATCTGATCTTGATGTAAATAATAATAATTACAGATGTAAAACATATATGTACTGTTTTGAACATAGTAGTAGTATAGGTTACCCGTTCTCGAAAGTGCTAATGAATGACATCACACCTAAACCGTAAGCATGTACCTACCCTGGAAAATAAACTTTATTTGAAACGTGTTATTAACGGATAGAATCTTTAGGAAATGGACGAGGAATAATTAATTTCGCTAAATTTTATATAAGTCTGTTTATTTTATTTTTTTTTTTTGGAATCGTATTATCTGTGATAAGCACAAGTAATGTTTATGTTAAGCAAATATATAAAATAACATATAGAGACAGTAGACTTGATAGAGGCTAACCAGTGCTGATACTTCAGTCGGTTTCTTTAACTTCATTATCTAAAAGTTTTATTATTTAATAAATAATTCGAAGCAAAACTATTTTGTATTAATTAATAGCCTATCATCATAATCCAAAAAAAAAAAAATATATTAGAGTATAGCATTCGAGGTACATAGAAAAATAACTTTTTTATGTTATTTTATTTGCTTAATAACAAAACTGTATTTAAATTTTTAAAATGTGGACACTTATGTTAAATCTAAAAAAGGGGGGTTAGAAAACAAAATAAAATAATTTAATGAGTTTTTATGTTGAATAAAATACAATTCTATCCATTATTTTTTTTTTACTGAGCATTTTTGTAATGAAATATTAGTATTTTTCATTAAAGTTGCAATGAAGAAAGTAAATTTTTAGTGTTCTACGCAATAGTATATAAATATATATACTATTTTTATTGTTCTAACTATTTAAACCATACTGAGCTACTCGCTAAATAAATTGTTTCAGATGAAATCAGTTATTGATGCAACAATAAAACAAATTTATGAATATATAGTTCAGATATTACCTGATATTTCAGAAAAAATTGGAACAATTGAAAACCCTGAATCCATGAGACTATCTATGGAAACATTTCAATGTTATAGGAGTATATTAAACAAAATTACAGAAAAATGTTTTTCTATTCCCAAGGTAAAAAAAAAAAAATTAATCTACTTCAGTGTGCTTCTTTACGTATTTTATAATATTTAAATCCTATTGTGTTCTTTTAGAATCCATATTTATTAAAATATTTGGTAGTGTTCGCCAATATTTGCGTGATTGATAAAAATGCAGATGATACAGTGATCAAAGTCATTGATACAATATGTTCAAGGGTAAAAATACCGAAAAACCTTGTTGATATTCATTAACAAATGTATTAGTATGTTTTTTCAAAACTTACTAATCAAATATATATAGACGATGAATACCATATTTTTAATTTTATATAATTTATAGTTAAACAATGTTTATTATACTTACTACATGTTAAATAAATAATATAACATACTTTTTATTATATATTCATATAATAATATATTTAGATCTTATATAAATAAATAGTATAATAAAATATATTTTTTTATTGAATGCGCATATAAAAGTTAAATAAAATTTAATTAATAAAAAAAGAATAAAGAACAAAAATAAATGACTTATTATAACTATTAATTACTTTATTATACAAAACATTAAAAAAAAAGATATAAATGAACAATACAACAAATATACACTGAGTACAAAAATAATTTTTTGGGTCCTGACGGATGACTAACTTGTTTGCCAGTGTATACAGATACTGTCACCCGTCCGTTCACACATGTACGGGTAAATTATTGTCTCAAACTATACTTGATAACGTACTGTAAAAAAAAAAAAACTGTAGCACAATGGAATCGTGACACAGTATAGACGTAACATATTTGAGGCAAGTATAGATTCAATTTTATCAACTAAACTTTTTTATTTATAAAAAAAATTTACAAGCATTAGCCCTTTTTATATGTATATGTATATTATACATATTACAAGACATGTTGACAAATTACATTATGGACAGACAAATAGTAATCAATAAGAATAAGAACATATTGAAACAAGTATAAAACATAAAATAATTAAGAATAAATAAATAAATTAGATTAAAATTAAATTAGATTAGATTAAATAAAAACCATATTCAAGGTCTTTTTGAATATGTAAAACGATTTTGAGACCATATTATAGAGCCAAAATCCAGAGTTGGTACAAACTAGGGATGAAATTTATAAGATAAATCTGATTTAAAATGAACACTTAAATCTTTAATAACAGTTTCTCTACTTAATGCAATATTATTTAAATTATAATTGAATAGTAATGGGTTTTTTGAACGAGTAAATGAAACTACTTTGCACTTATCAATGTTTAGAGGAAGACAATTTTTAATACTCCACCAAAAAAATTTGTAGAATTGTTTTTGTAATACCTCAACATCTGAAAAAGATTTTATTGAGCAAAATAATTTAGCATCATCTGCAAAAAATAAAATATTAACGTCATTATTTATTAACTGTGGCAAATCATTAATAAAAACTAAGAAAAAAAGTGGTCCTATATGTAATCCTTGTCGGACACCTGATAATACGTAAAAATCTGCTGAAATATGAAAATATAGTTTTGCTGCCTGAGAATGATTTGTTAAGTATGACGCAATCCATGAAAGAAATGTGCCATTAATACCAAGAGCTCTTAATTTAACTAGCAAAATATATAATGATTTCATTGATATTTTTTATACAACTTTATCAAGATAAACTGTATTAGGTATATTTGATCTATTAGTTCTCAAGGACTGGACATAATGGCAAAATGATTTAGGATTTACATTTACACCATTTTCAATTTTTTGTATGTAATTTACATGAATTTGACTATATAATGATTTGCATTTTTTCCAAAGTTCGGAAAACGTTGAATAATCCTGTTGAGAATTTGTTATTTTAAAATTTTGTGAACTTCTTTTTTTAATTTTATTAATTTCCTGAGATATGGATTTGACCGTGTGATGTTACAATTTATGTAACATTTAACTTTTGATAATGTTCCGGAAATACTGCGTCCTTTAAATATATGTCAAATTAAAGCTTATGTTACGTACTTTAAACTAAAAAAAAAAAAAGATAAGCCCGACGGCTTATCTTCTTATTATTTTTTACAATTTCTTATTATTTATATATATGTCAATCTATCCATTGTTAAATATGCTATCTCAATATAATAATGATGTAATGTATAATTAGATACAATAAACTATAAAGATCACTAAAAGCGCTGACAACAATATCCATAGATTGGGAGTACTATCACGCACTATAAAAAGCACTAAAATCCTTTCAGGCACCAGTTCGCTTTTGCCAAATTCAAATAAGAAAACAATTGTTAGCTAGGACCCCGTATTGCTGTCGGCTATCTTTTTATGCATCTTGCTTACATACATATGAAAAGAATTTGTTTTAACTTATTATTTTGTGACGATGTACGAAATTGATACCTCTACATATCAGAAGGATTGTTGAATTGTCTTTGATTTACAATTCATTGTTGCGAAAAAAAAGTAAGTAAATTTATGTTATCCCAATTATTTAGAGTTAATAAATATGAGTAGAGAACGACGAAGCAATAGATCATTCATTATATTGATATTGTAGAATATTATACTAGACTGGTTGGTTAAGGTCTTATACATAATCACGTTACATGGTATCTGTGAACTAGCCTGCCATTCCGCTGCCTTAAAGAAATTTTAATAACCTAGTGTGATTTCTACTGTATAAATTAAGCATTACTACAAGTATTCATGAACTGGCTTGTCGTTCCGTCGCCATTGTACATATTACTAGATACTAACCAGACTGTACTTTATTATATCTCGGCAAAGAAATATTGCGTTTATTATTTTTATATCTACTTGTCTTTGTTGTTCTAAACCCTCGGACTCTACAACCCCGATAGAACCTCGTTGCTAACAATTTGATTAAATCCCCAAATATCCAATCTTGGTCAAAATACCCATACAACCTTTACAGACATTTTTACCATATATAATTTATCTTTGTTATTTTAAATTATAACAAAAATGGCAACAGACAAAAAAAACCCATCATAGTATAATTAATATCTACTCAGCTTCGCATCGAAGCTAAAAAGCGATAGCACAGTGACGTCATGGCACAGTATGGACGTGGCATATTTGAGACAATTATAGATGATATCTGACAGTGATTTAAATCACTATCATAAGAAACGCTTCGATGCAAAACTGTAGATAATGTTTAATTTTAAGAAATTTACGTAACATAAGCTTTAAGTTAACATATATTTAAAATTTTTGAGGGTAATGTTTACGACTAACTACGATTTGTGATCTTTTGACGAAAATCGTTAAAAATCAGTGAGAGCTGAGAAAAAAAATAGATGTAGATAAAAAAAATACAATTATTTATTTTATGACATTTATTCTAATTTAATGTAAGCAGTAAAAATTAACATAAAATAGTTAGTCATATTGCAACTCTAATGTATAATTTTTGATATTGCATTGTTTTAAGTTCCAAAAATAGAAAAAACCAACATGGCCGCTTAATCAATGTTTAATTTTATTAACAATGATCACGGGTATTTGGTCATTCAGTAAAAAAATTATCAATTATTAATATAATATTAATCCAATGGAGCCACTTTTTGTGATCGTTTGATGATTTTCGTAGCAGTAACTATCTTATTCATTTTAAATTTAAGAAGTTGGATTTATTAAAGTAATATATTTGGTATAGTCGGTATATTTATTTTTCTTAAATACTTTTTTGTACTTGTTCATTATTTAATTATTTTAAAAATGGAGGAACTTAATTTCTTTATGACTCAGGTAGTATAAAATTTTAAATGAAAAATTAATGATGAAAATACTAATAGTTTAAAATTATTTTACCGTACTTGTACGCCATATGTATGTATATAATATTTAACATGATGAAGATTTTTGAAGACCAGGGACAATTTTCATTAAAAAAGAACATTTCCATTTTAATGATGATCTAAATTCAAATTATCTTCAGTCAAAGTATGTTTAATACTTGAAGATAATACTTTATTCAAAAATTATGTGACTGAAACAGTTAAATAATAATATTAATAATTAATATTTATATATTATATAAATATCAATGACTCTCTCTTCTTCAATAGTTTGATTTCGAATATCATGATCATTAATGCAATCATATAATTACTCCAACCTTTCGGATTTATATACTTATAAATCAAAAAACTACTAATCAGGATATAAATAAGGAAATAGGAGGTCATGTTACTTTTGGAATAATCTACTAAATTCTTAAAATTAAACACGATCTACACTTTTGCATCAAAGTGTTTCTTAAAATAGTGATTATAATCACTGTCAGATATCATCTATACTTGTCCCATATGAATGGCCCACTGCAGAAACCAGACATGTCCAAAAAATCAAAATTACTTTTATCATATTTTTAGAAACTAGAGACATAGACACATCTTTTACTGCAACAGCCAGACATCTACCATTGTTAGTATAGGAGTAAAGCCAGGTTAAAATTTACTCTTAACTGCAGATATCAGACATGTCCAGGACATGTCTGATATCTGCAATTAACTCTATGGTTTGAGTGGCTGGTGTTTACTCTCTGTACTGCCAACTCAGTGTATGATAGCACCTGAAAAAACGTACCCAACAGCTGATTTTGTTTTTATTTTTATTTTATTTGGACCTCGCTTCCCCGTTTCCAACATCACTGTGCGTAGTCTGTTTACTTGTTGTCAACTATTAACCTACATCTCATTTCACTGCGTAATTTATTCAGTAAGATGAGTAATTTAGAAGGTGATGTTGATAATGAATCTCGTAAAAGAAAGAAAGGGGTTTTGAATACAGAATGCTATAAAAGGAATATTATAAAAACAGCAAAAGTTAAAGGTGATGAACATGTTAACTGGGCTGGAAGAAATATTCAAGCAAAGCAACCTAGCACAACAAATTGCGGGTAAGACATTTTTTATTTTATATATAGGCCTACTAAAATAACACTTAGAACAAGCATGTTTTTTTAACAAGAACATTGTAAAAACATTATTAATTCAGCTTTTTAGAGAAAACTGAAGTGTTTTAACCAATAGCCTAGCCAAGTTTTTATTCCAACCTAATCTAATTGAACTAACCCAACATAACCTAACACAGCATGCTTTACATCAAACCAATATAAATAGTTTATTATGTGTAGGATCATGATCCTGAATTGTACATGGGCCCTTCTACTATTTTTATGTGTGAATTGTTTTTAGCTGCCGCTACAATTGCCTACAGAGTTTTACGGAGGACAATATGCTGCAAATCTTCAATCACCTCTATAGCTTTAACTCAAAGACGGAACAAGATATTTATATCCAGTCGCTGATGGAATTGGAGCCAATAGCAAGACCGAGGCCAAGATCTTATGGTGAAAAGTCAAAACCAAAGGCTTTTAACGTAAAGTACTCCATTCAGCTCAATGGGGTACGTACTGTAGTTTATAAGAAATCATTCATGCAGACATACAGTTACTCTAAAAATCAATTAGAAAGGCTGTCACATTTGTTGCAAAAAAACAAAACCCCCGAAGATAAAAGAGGGAAAGGTCCATCTGGAAATGCAATACCTGAAAGTGAAAACTTAAAAGTCAGAGAACACATTGAAAGTTTCCCAACAAAAGTGTCTCACTACTCAAACAGTGAAAGGCGTTATTTGGCCGCCAATCTAAACCAAAGAATAATCTACGACATGTTTGTCGCTAAAGAGCGTGATTTTCTGTTAGCTATTCTTGGAAACGAGAAGCGTTTCTCTTACAAATATTTTTGTGAATATTTTAGAGTTAACTATGATTTAGGATTTGGAAGACCAGTTGTTGACGCTTGTGTTACATGCGAGGAGCTACAAACAAAAATAAAAAATCCTACACTGAATGACAATGCAAAAAAAGTTGCCGTTGCTGAGCTAATGGTTCATAAGAGAAAAGCAAAAAAGTTTTATGAGAAGGTAAAGTCTATAACCAAAACTTGGAAGGATGATCCAAAGTCTGTCGGCATATCAATTGAGTCAAATAAATTATTAAAAACTTTTTCAGGCATTTTAAGTATTTTTTTTACAATTTTACCACAAAAAACAGACATGTCCACGAAACAAATACTAAAAAAACTCAATTAATTAAACATGTAAAATTTTAATTGTTTTACATGATCAAACATTAACCAGCAAGCTATGTATCTTGATTAATTTTTTTATAAAAAAAAATAAGCTCAACGATAAAATTAGTTATTTGCTTCTCCTGAAAAGTTTGATTTTTGGACATGTCTGGTTTCTGCAGTAGGTCATTCATATATGTCACGTCCATACTGTGCTGTGACTGTACTGTGATATTAATGTCCAACTAAGATATTTGAGATGGATTATGCCGAAATAACAATAAATTATAAGAATAACTATAATGATGAAATTGTTGTAATAATGAAATGGCCAGTGTGTGATGTGTCTACTTACAGCTCAAAAATAAACAAGTTGAATGGAGCAATGAATCGGTACGGCTTTTTGTGGTTATAAGTTTTTACAAATTGTTATTAAACAACTTGTTTCTTAATACATTTATACACAGATAATAGACCTTCTACTCTTTTTTTAAATTCTACATTCTATAAATATTAATTGGCTATAAATATTAAAAAAATGCACAAGGTATGAACAACAGACCTATAGTGGTGAACGCAGTTCTTGCTCACCTCTTAAACAATTTAAACTAAAACTAAAAAATACACACATTTTTTTAGAATTTTATTATATCTCATTTGTCTTCCAGTTTGAACATTTAGTTTAATAAAAAATACTGTATTTATGCAATTTATGAATGTATAAATATGAAGATTTAAGTATTAAACAAAATACTGAAAAAATTAAGTTATTCTATATTTAATATTCAAAGGTTTTTTTTTATAAAGAAATATTTTATTAATTTTTATCATGTATAAATACAGCATAGGTTAAAATGCATGACAAAAGTAACCATGTTATCAACTTTGGTGTAACGAATTTAATATGTAATACCAAATGTAAACGACATAAGATTGATGCTATTAACAAAAACAACATTAATAATAAATGGTAAAATTTTTTTTATATGTTCTAAATTTTCTCTGTAAAATACCTATAAAATTTTTTGTATACATTTTTATAAGGTTGATACAATTGGGAAGACTAATACTATTCATATTAATGGTACTCTGTTATATTTTTTAAATTATATACATACAACACAAACTTCAGCTATATCCCATAACTATTGCAAAAATATACTATGTACATAATATAATTTACTATTTATGCATTTTTTGTACAAATAATTAAAGAAATAATATATGTATGGGAAAGTCAATCTCATCTGTTTTCCTTTTTAAAATTTTTTCATAATATGAGATTACTAATAAATCTGTTACTTTAATGGGAAACTTTAAAACTGAAGTCTACTTAAATAATGAATTTTTTAGATAATAAGTAAAATGTTTAATATTTATGACTATCCAATTAATTATACTAATCAATAATATTGTGTAATTTATTTAGATCCATAAAAAAAAGACAAAGGAAAAGGTTATTTAAAAAATTAAAATCCAATGATATTATAAAGAAATTTAATGAAAAACAGTACAAAAAAGAACAATGATATTATAAGAGAAAAAGAATAAAAAAAGCAGTCAAAGGAAGCAGTGCATATTTTTTGGTTTGTTAAAGATTTTACATTCTGTGTTCATTGTGATTCACATTTTCTACTTTGGTGTTTTTAGCACACTAATGAAAAGAATCTAACTTGGGAAGAAACCAAGGTTGAACTTGCTAATAAAATAAAAACTTAACAATATGCAAACAAAAATTTGAGAACTCAATTAGTTAAACAACAAGCTATTATAGAAGCATCCCAATGTGAGAAAAAATATTTAAAATTATTACTATTATTATTTTCAATTATTCAAATAATTCATCACTGATTTTACTTGTACCAATCTTAATAACATAATAAAAGTTATTAAGTAGAATTATTAATATACATAAATTCTGTATATACTTCAAGGCTAAAGATATATGTTTGTGACTTTTTGTACTTGTTTAAACTAAAAAGCACTTTAACATTTATATATTTATCATTATTTCCGCATGTTTTAGCTGATAAAAAGTATATAGCTATTCTAAACTTCATATTTCTTAATATTTTATTGTATTTTGAGATTTTTTTGCAACTTAAAATCAAAATCTAAGTACTATGATATTTAAGATAAGAATGTTTATTTTGAATTTTGAAAAATGAACACCCAATCACTAAAGTGGCAAACAAATTTCCAGAATTGCAAACATTGGTATTGATATATTTAGATCAATCCCTAATGATAATAAGGTAATTCAATCAATGAAGGTACTCTAAAATAGTTATTTTTGAAACTTTTATGTTGTTTATTAAAAATTATAGATATATCCATAAATCTTTAAAGTCATCAAAATATAGTTTGATGCAAGGTGAAAAAGATACATACGAGGCAAATACTTGATAAACATGTTATAAATTTTCAGTAATAAATATTTTTTTACAATTTTCTACATTAATTATACATAATTTTGCATATTAACTATAATTATAACATTATATCAAGTAGAAAAATTGACTACCTAAAATAGAGATCTTTTAAATGAACAATTGTCTATGTGTACTGATGCACACATTTTAAGGAAAACGTTAATGAACCTAAATAATTTAAGTGCTAATTTGGTTAGTGCAATATTATTTATATTTTATATTATTAATTCTAAATTACTTTAGTCTGTGTATAAATAATAATAATGAAAATTATAGCATATTGAAAAATGATTATTCAAAATACAGATCCAATAAATAAACAAATAACTACATTTGATGATACTCAAATTTTAATTGATGCAGCTTCTTATACAAATAATTTTAGTGCTAATTCAGTTTGTAAAATTTCTTTAATGGTATATTTTGATTTATAGTTATTTATTTACCAATAGAATAGTTTTAATAAACTGGTTAATTGTCCGTTCAATCAAAAGTTACTTTCAAAGCTAGTTGGTTATCTAATGCTCATGGTATTTAGTGAAATAGAATTAAGAAATTTTCTTGTAAAAAGTTTCAAAAAAACAAATGATCCCCAAAAAAAATTTAATTGAAAAAACTAGTTATTCATGGTGTGTATAGAACCTGAGTAATGTGTATTCATATAGTTCAACTTATGAAAAATTATATATTTTTAATGCATTAATAATGTTTTTCTGTGAAAGCATTAAAACTAGTGATTACTATAATAATTGAATAGTAGGATAAGTATACAATTGAAAGGATGCTGAGAAAAATTATATTTCAAATTTTTTAGACTAAAAATTTACCATTACTAATTTTAGTACTAAACTACTATATGTTTTAAGTATTTTTAATATTTAGGGCAAATAGTGAACTATTAGATTCCAGTTGTAAACTATTAATAGTTTATGCAAAATGACTTTCTTTTACTAAGGATTTTTTTAAAATTATATTATAACAGTATTTAGCGCTTTAAGAATACGATATTCACATTAAAATTTATTTATTTATAAAAAATAAATCTATTTTTCTTAAAATATGTTCATTATTTTAAAATAATAAGTGAACTCGTATGTGCGCATTCAATTTAAACTTTGGAACTGCTTAAATATTTATATATAACGTCAAGGCTTTTTATTTATAATTAATCGCAAAATTAGAATTTACAAATTTTTTTTGATATCTCCAAAAATAGGGGTGTTTATATGATCTGAGTTTCCCCAAAAGTGCGCTTTTTGGTCGGTAATAGGCTCACTAACTCTGTTATCCTATGATTTTTCTTTTTTTCGCATATATAAATTATTTGTTACCACCAATGCATTAGAGTTGTAGTACGAGTGATTCAAATCAATCAAGTTTTCTTTTGATACATAAAATATTGTTTGACTGTTTACAGAAATAACCTGTAATGTGCCAAATAAATTAACAGTTCATCAATAAATTTTGTCCTTTAATTATATACGATATATATATATATATATATATATATATATATATCAATAAGTATAACATTTTCAAAAAATTGTATAAGACAATAAATCGACATAAGCTGAAATAATAGAACCACTATTACTTTATTCTAGTGGTATTATTTAACATTCATTTTAAATAATTGAAAATATAATACGATTATTTAAAATTACATAATCAAAATTGATAAAAATGTATAAAACCGTAAAATTGTAATTTAATAAATGAAAATAATCTTTTATCTTTAAATTTAATTTTTAACACAAAGTAATCATTAAATTAAGTTTAAAAACAAAATAAATTATAAAGACACTATGCAGCGTACTCTAATTTAATCATTAAATTTAAATAACATGTGACGTCCGATTTGTTTGATTAAAATCCTGCCTGATTTTGTCGAATGGCACCTCCGTACCTAACACCCGTTTGGTCAAGTTATCTTTTTACGTATTATTATTTAAGTCATTTATTAATAAAAGTCAACAATCTTTATTTCGTATCCAATTTTGACTATTGCATATTATGAAATAAATTTCAATTTCGACTATTAACCATTCGATTGTTCCCACTAGTTTATACAACTACTGCATGCCCTTTCCTACTATATATAATAAACTATAATTACGTCGGCCATTTTGGTGGTAAAGTTATGGAAAATAACAATAACAAACATTGTAAGCGTTATCAGCGGTTTGTTGTGTTACACTATCAACAATTTGACCGCCATTTGGTAACTTCGCAACATTTAATTTCAGAAATTTAATTATTACTAAAATTTCATAATTCACTTGACAATTTATTTTTGTAGAACATCATTTTAATTATATATTATTCAAGTTCTCTATTATATGTGTAAATGAGATTCAACTGTTTACTGGTTTTGATACAATCTTATTTCCTATATTTACCGTATAATTATTCTTTAAAATAACTTTTCATCATACAACATTTTCTAATCACTATGGATGAGGTAATTATTTGATAATTATTATTTAATCAGTAAGTTTTCTAATCAATTGAATTTTTTAGCCCGCGTCAGTGGATATATTATTACCTTAGTATTAATATAATTGTTATAATAAATAATAAAAATATCTGAATATAGCCTATAATTTAGTATTCGTACGTTTTTTCTACCTTAAATTAACTATTTAATTATTGTAGATTTAAAATCCATTAAATAATTATTAAAAATTATTCCTTTATTAAAAAAATAAGGTGAACTTTAATTTTTAGTAGTTTAACCTTGCTCTTCTTCCTGAGTTTACATACATATTACGAAAAAAAAATTGAATTCTTAAAAACATTTATAGTGTTTTTGAATTAAGGTGTCTTGTTTTTAGTTTAGTGTTAAGATTCAATTAAAATAATAGTTATGAATATTTTTCAGATAAACTCTAAGCTGCCCAATGTATCATCTAAGCTCAATGGTAATTATTGAACATTATTTTAAACAAGTGTAATTGTGAAAAAATTCTATAATAAATAATATTAATTAAATTGGCAGAATTGAATACTGAAGAGTTAACTGATGATAAAAATAAAGATAAAGATTATGAGAACCGTGGTGATGAAAATGATGATGAAACTACAATGGAAGAAGAAGAAGCTCTACCTGAATTAGAGGATCCATTACGAGAGATTAAATTTCTTGAAGAGGTATTGAAATATATATTGTATCCTGATACAAATAGAAATTTTTCAATATCAATTATAATCATAAATTGTTTTATAATAGGAAAGTAATATGCCTATTCATGAGCTTATGAAAATGTATGGCTATACAAATGGTGCTTTAGAAGAAACTGCGCATGCTGGAAATAAAAATACTAAAAAAAGAAGTTTATCTAAAAAAAATAAAAATAAAAAACTAAAAGTAAAATAATATAACCTTTTTAATTATCATTTTTCTAATATTACTGTAGTGTTAGTTCTTACATACTACCGTTTTGAGTTTGATTTTTTTTATTAAAATTTATTGAACCATATTAAAATAGTCCTAAAAAATGAAATATTTGTTGTTTAATGTTGAAAAATTAAGTATCATAAATAAAAATAAAATTTACTTCATTTAAAATTCAATTCAATCATGTAAAAAATAAAACAAATTTGTTTTATTTAATTTTTATTATAATTTACATCATGCAATATGCTTATATAATTATATATATTTTTAGAAGGTGTCAGTGACAACCATTCATAAAATACCAGGTAAAAATAGCTTTGGAATGAGCTCGTTCTTATTAATTTTAAATTATATTTTAATTTTTTTTTAGAGAAAAAGATAAAATTAAGAGAAGAGGATAAGTTTAAACAGGAAAAATTAAATGAAGAAGGTTCAACTATAAATGAATCTGTTCTTAAGGATACCGAAGGAGCAACAGAGGTAATAATACTCATTTTTTCACCTTTAAATTTTATATTAGAATTTTATTTAAATTCTCTTTGTGCAAATTTTTTTTTCAATTTCAATTTTCCAAGGTTGCTTTTTAAAAAATGTTTCATTAGGAGATTTTATTTAATTTTAAATACCTTACAAAGGGAGGCCACTGACTTTCATAAAATTTATATAAATTTAACTGGCATAGAATATATAAGTTAAATTTATTTAAATAATTTTCTTCAATTAAGAAAAAAAAAACCACTATGAAATTTTGAGCTAGCTTAAATTATCCATTTTATCAATCAATAAATGTGATATATGGTTTCTGTGTCAGTAATACTTAAATCTTTATGCTCGGGGTACGAGGTTTAAACCTCACGCATCAAAGTGACGTTTTTTGCATTTTATTCTTGATTCTTTTTGAGATGGAAAAAATTCAACATTTCATTGGTTTTTAAATCTTAGATTTATTTATGTAAAAAGAATTTTTTATTTATATTAAAATTATATAATTTTATAAACATTTATTAATACTTAAGCATTTAAGCTATGTTATAAGTTAATATATATATATACTAGGCTCCACTTAGCTAGAGCTCCGCTCCAGAACTGAGCCTCTATGACCCTTATGCCTCTTTGGGCCGTCATCATAAGAAGGCTACTGATTACATTAGAAGTACCCGGGTATGCCGGGAACAATAAGTGTTTTGCAGAAAAAATATTACATCAGAATCAGTGTAACAAAAATATATTAAAAATGTTATTACCAAAATCAGAAAAATTCAAAAAGAGAACATAGTAAAATGTATTGGGTATAAGGTTGACGTTTGTTAATGAGGTATTCCCTTTAGGCGTATTCAAAAATTATTTTAGTAGGGTAATTTAATTTAATTTAGGGTATTTAATATTTTTTTACTTTGTTAAACATGCTATAGAATTTTTTTTACTAAAAAACAAAGTGATGATCAAAAAAGGACATTAGGTCCTTATTTCTTAGAAGTTGCATAAAAAAATATTGATAGCACTGTTTCAAAGGGGACCCATATCTCCCTTAAATACACCCCTGGTATACACAAAAATTATTAATATTCTAATTATAATAATCGTGTTTATATTATAGAATACGTGGGACTATGTAAAAAATTTAATTTTGATAAAAATATTGGTAGCTGTGATTTAACGTTAGACAGCATAGTTGTCTTAGATGATTCCCAATTTAAACGATAAACTCATAGACTCATACATCATATATGAGAAAAAAAATGAACGGATTGAATTGATTTTTCTATCATATCTCAGGAATATCATTGGGCGGGTCTGGTGAAAATTTCAAACCTTAAGTCATAAAACACTGGCGTCAGCGAACGTTTTTCTCGAAAATGGTCGAAATTTTAAAACGCTCGCGAGCAAGCCTCAAAAATTTTCCGACCTTCGCCAATAATTTTCTCGTAGTCTAGTGACCAAGTACTTCTGTTGAAAATCCGAGCATGCTAACTAATTTTTTCAGAATAGCGTTTTTTTTCTTGTTCTATTATATAATAAAAAAGATATTGTTATAAATTGATTCTTTATTTGATTAAATTTTAATTTATTTATTTAAATCTTTAGGACCAAATAAAAATAAATAAAACTGTTGATAGCAAAACAAATGTTGATGAGTGTGATGAAGAAACCGAAACTCCATCTAAATTACTTGATTTGTATTTGGCAGAACTTGGTAAAACTTATTACTATATATATGTAGGTACTAGATGGTATCATTTCCCATGTCTTGAAGTGAAGTGGGTAGAGGTGTCATCTAGTATTAACATTGGGGAAACTTGAATTAATTGTTGTGTGAGTTATAAATTGGCTAAATGTATTTTTGTGTTGTTTAATTTATACATTTTTTATCATAACTTTTGTGTACAGGGTGATTCACTTATTGTGAACCCCATAATTAATCGAAAAATAATAATAATATTGAAAAATTTATTTTATTTTAGTTCAATATTTCTCTCAATTTTTCAATTGTAAAGTTTTATTTATGTCCATCACTTATACCTTATAAGGGTTTCAACAATAACTTCTCAAATGGCAACACCCCTATTTAACTAGCTTATTTATAAATCATGATCTAATTAAGAAAATGACTGGTCAATAACAACTTTTGAACCAGTATTTTAAAAGATATTAGCACTTTTATATTTGGGTAGGGGGGGGTAAAGAAAGATTGTTTATTTTTATCTTTGGTCATTATGAACTGCACTATTCCTTCCATCTTAATATAAAAGTGCTAGTTAAAAAGTTACAAACAGTTTTGATAATGTTTCAAATTACCTAACTTCTTTAAACCTATATAGATTCATAATTATTAAAATTCACTTTAAGATGAAAGAAAAACTATCCAAAAATTTTATTTATATGAGTTACACAGACCACCATAGCTCTTCTTCTTCCTCGCTTAGTCCTAACTAATTGAAATCGGCTACCCTTTCCTAAACTTTCACTTGACACTATCACCCACATCATCTACGTTCTCATCAGTTATCCTCATATCGCATTCAATTACATCACTCCATCTCTTTTTTGGTCTTCCTCTACCTCATCTTTTTTCAACATTAATTTCTATAACTGTTCTTAACGTTTCCGATTCCTCTCTTCTCATAACATGACCAAGCATCTAAGTCTTTTTTCTCTCATCTTATCTACGATTGATGTTACACCTATATTACTTCCTCTTATATGTTCGTTCCTTATCCTATCTTTACCAAAGCTAAAAATCATAATTTTATTTTGAAAGTTATCTTTAAACTATTGTAAATTTAACCACCCAAGAATTTTATAACAATGATTTTTTAATCACTTGCTGTTCACATTTGACCTTTTTACTAAACTATTTTCTAGATCAAGTACAAAGTGAAGAAGAGGATGAAGATTATAAACCACACTGGGAAATACATTGGAAGGTGAATAAAAATATATTAATTATTAATTGGTGTATTAAAAAAATAAGCATTCAAATATCAGTAAATTAACCCTGCATCAATAATTTTTCAATAAAATAATTAAAATTAAAAAAAATATTTTTTTATTTAACATTAAAATTATTACATAAAAATGGTTTATATTTAAATACATATAGATTATAAACATTTAATAATGTATTTATTAAAATTAGTTACTTATAAAATGCATGCCTAATAAATGAAATAATTCTAGATTTATACTTATTTTAATGTGCAGCAAGGTACATTGAAGGGTTTAAATAACTTAATATCAGGATAATTCCACAATAAATAAAAGGTAGTAATAAGTTCTTAGTATTATTCATATATTGGTGTTTTTAATAAAAAATAGCTTAGTTTAAGTTAATGTTAACACAATTTTTTTTACTTATTACTGACTAAAATTATATAAAATCATTAATTATTGATGTTGATAGATAAGTTACGTATTTTGGAATATATAATGGCTGTCTTTCAAATTAATGAAAATTCTGCATTTCTGTATTATGATAGTTCAATTTATTTTTTAGCTTCGATGCCAAGCTGAGAAGGTATTAATTTTACTATGATGTGTTTTTTTTTTATGTCTGTTGCCACTTTTTCTCAGCTCTCACTGGACCGATTTCTTTCAAAAATACGTCAAAAGATCACAAATCGTATCTAGTTGAAGACATTACCCTTAAAAATTGAAAAAATTTCCTCGTTCCCCGCAAATGGGGGAAATATCCAAAAAAATTACAAATTTAAAAATCGGTAAATTTTGTCATTTTTTTCACTTTTTTTTCTTAAAACTTCCATAAATTTTTCAAAAATCAACAAATCAACATAATTTTTTTTTATACTAAAACCTTAGATATTTCTCTTTCATTTGATATCATTTTTTTGAAAATCTAACACTTAACCTGCTCATTGGGGGGGGGGGATTTAAAATAGCAATTTTTTTACAAAAACTAATTTTTTCAACTTAATTTTTGAAAATGTTCCGGAAATACTGCGTCCTTTAAACATATACCAAATGAAAGCTTATTTTATGTACTGTAAAATGAAAAAAAAAAATTTTGTCCCGACACTATTTTCTGCATGCAAACGGCTGCCGTAGTTAAAAAACGCTATTTTTGTGTTAAAATTTTCGATTTTAAATTTTCAACTTAAAAATGCTATAACTTTTCGAAAAATGTAAGTATCAGCACAAATTTTTTTTTTTTAAATACATTATAAGTACATCTTTCATTTGACATACTTTTTATTAAAATTGGACAATGTCCCCATATATAGGGGGCGTTCAAAACTTGAAATATTGTATAAAAAACTTTTTCAATTTAATTTTTGAAAGTGTTCCGGAAATACTGCGTCCTTTAAACATATATCAAATTAAAGCTTATTATATGTACTATAAAATAAAAAAAAAAAATTTGTCCCGACGATCTATCTTCTATGTGCAAATGGCTGTCGAAAATTAAAAAAAAATGTAATGATTGCGATAAAAATTACCTTTTATCGGGATGTTTTTTGTGCTTAAAACTGCCATAACTTTTTCAAAAATTAACAAATAAAAATAATATTTTTTTGTATTAAAACCTTAGATATTTCCCTTTCATTTGATATAATTTTTTTTGGAAATCTACCACTTATTCTGTTCACTGGGGGGATTTAAAATAGTAACTTTTTTACAAAAAATAACTTTTTCAACTTAATTTTTGAAAATGTTCCGGAAATACTGCGTCCTTTAAACATATATCAAATTAAAGCTTATTTTATGTACTATAAAATGAAAAAAAAAATTTGTCCCGACGACCTATCTTCTATGCGCAAATGGCTACCGTATTCAAAAATATGTTATTTTTCTATTAATATTCTAGGTTTTGTATTTTATTTTATTTTAAAATATCTTATTAGGAGAATATATTGACTTTCATGAATATTATATAATTTAATTGACATAGAATAAAGTTCATAAGACATATGATATTATACTTATTAACATTTTTTACTTTTTTAAAGTCGAAAAAGTAANGTAAGACATAAGAAATTAAACTTATTAAATTTTTTAAATTTGAGTTAGCTTAAATAGCCAATATTTTAGCTTCGATGCGAATTTTTTATGTGTAAATACTAATTTTTAATAATATTAAAACTTAGAAGTGATAGAAAAAGTCTAATTGCAGATTTGAAATAATCGCGAAAAGTTGATTTAGAATGGTATATTTTTGTTACTGATGAAAGTTCCTTGTAGTTCAGTGCATTTATTTATATTAACAAACAGTTTTTATTTAAATTTATTGTATCAAGCCCTTTAAATTTTTATACACGTAAAAATAAAGCTAAATACAACTTCTTTATTATTTTTATAATTTCTCCGTTTAAATTACAATATTAAATTATTGAATATCAATTTCATACTAAATTTAATAATTATAATTAGTATTTATTCATATATTATATTTTAAAATCAAAGAANATAATTAGTATTTATTCATATATTATATTTTAAAATGAAAGAACTACTAATTAGGATATAATCAAAGAAATAAGAGTTGATGTTGCTTTTGGAATAATCCACCAATTTCTCTAAATGAAACACTATCTACAGATTTGCATCGAAGCGTTTCTTATGATAGTGATTTTAATCACTGTCAAATATTATCTATACTTGTCCCATCTATGCCTTGTCTACACTGTGCCTCGACCCCACTGTGCTACCGTTTTTTTAATTAACAATCTAAATGTATAAAATGCTTCTATTTTTTTAATGTAATAAAAGGCTCAAAAAGTTTTAAATGCCTCAGACGCAAATTGGAAGGCTTGTGAGGATTTAGTCCCTCTAAAATTTCAGAAAAACATATAATTATATAAAATATATTATTGAGAAGACATTGGATTTAATAAGTCCCTCCAAATATTTTGTTGAAATTGAGACAATATTTAAAACTGTATTTAGTGGCATTTTAATAAAATTATTTCTTAATTTTTTTTTTCACTTTTATTACAGTAGAACATTGATTAACTGTGTTCGCGATTAACCTTGCTCACTCTTCCAAAAATTAAGAAATAAGTAGAGACTGTATTATGACAAATATATTAATGACATTTTTGACTATAACAATATAAAGATAAGCAATATTATAGATTGTTTAATGAATTATATTTATCAATTACCTTTAGTTTACTTTTGAACATATTTGTTCAACATAGCTGTTCCGACGTAACCATACAATGTGCTAAACGAAAACGTATCATTCTTTCTCTAGAGAAAAAAGTGTTGATTATTAACCAGACGGTAGATTGTGGTGAAAGTGTACAAAAATTAGCGGTGAGCTCGGAGTGGGTCAACAGACAGTGCGTGACTTAATTAAACAAAAAATAAAAATTTTCAAGTTCATATCATGTGAAGAATTATCAGCTACGAGAAAAACTATGAAAAAGTTATCATTATCTGACATGAAATGTGCTCTTTTTGAGTAGTATTTGACACGACTTACGTCGCAAAAATGTGGTCGACACTGGTTTGAGGGTAGAGACCCGTGGGCCGTTTATTAAATGAGCGACAACAGATTATTTTAACAAAAATAAAACAAACCGAAAAGATAAACACAGTAATAATAATCTTCGCATAATATCGCGGCACTTTCGCTGGCGTCGACGACGCGATGTCCGGCGTAAACCTTGAACGGCAAAATGGTTAGCAGCGTTGTAGGCGACGGTGCGCGGGTGCGGTTCGGTTGGTCGGCGTTGTCGCTTTCACAACAGGAGGAAGACTCTCGCACCATTTGCGGCGGGTCGTCGTCGGCCGTGCGGCATTTGCTGGACTTTGCACCGTAGCGTATAACACGCGGTGTTGGTCAGTCAAATATTCATAGTAGGGCGACGGCTGATAAAGGTGGCACGAGTCGCGGGGCATCGTGTATAACGAAGCGACGCGGGCCGTGTCATATTGAAGACACGCCAATTTTCAAGCCAATGATTTGTAAAAAACAGCTCCTGGATCTAGCAAAGAACTATTTACTATTATGACATGTTTAAACGCGATCGATACATATAAGATTAAATTAACTGTTATTGGGAATGCTAAGAAACCAAGATCTTTTAAAGGGACGGAAATGAAATATTTCTCATGTGATTATTATACCACTCAAATACTTGGATGAACCAGATTATTTTTAGTAGATGGTTTTTCAATGCTTTTGTATTACCCCATCTATAACGAAATTTCAGGATAAAAAAGAAATACCTAAAAGAGCTGGTCTTCTGCTTGTTAATTCTCCTTCACAACCCTTNGTACCATCTATAACGAAATTTCAGGATAAAAAAGAAATACCTAAAAGAGCTGGTCTTCTGCTTGTTAATTCTCCTTCACAACCCTTAAACTCTACCCTGAAATTAATGGATAGTCAAACTTTTGTCTATTATCTACCACCTAACGTAACTTCCTTAATACAGCCATTAGGTAAAGGTGTGATTTCTTGTTTGAAACGAAGGTATAAAAAGATTTGTCTTCGTTATCTTTTAAAAGAAAATTGTTTTGATTCAATGAAAGAACTTTTAAAAAGTAGACCATAAAATATGCCATTTTTGCAGTATGTTATGCTTGGGAAAATGTACCTGCAAGTATGTTAAGTCTTTCCCGGGCAAAAAATTTTAGATCAAGACTATGATGACGAAAAAAATCGAAAAAACTTAATGTAGCTTGGCTACATTTATTCCAGATTTCACTAACGTTGATAAAGACGACATTGTTGATTGGCTACAAAAATATCATAACGAAGAAGGATTTTAACATTTAAGTGGCAATGACATAGTAGCTCGTTTTGGCAGAATAAGTACATCATCTACTTTACAATAGTCTGATTCTTCTTTTGAGACTGATAATTACGATAGTTTTAAAAAAATACGGACAAGTCAACCAATGTAAGCAATTGATATCCTTCTGAACTTCTACGAATAGGAAGATTTTGACTTCCATTTCGTTATTGATTTAAGAAAAATAAGAACTAAACTAAGGAAAATTATTTCAAACCAAAAGAAACAAAGACTGATATCTTCATATCAAAGCCCTGATAATTTATTATGTGTAATATGTATGAATGTATAACATTATTGTTTTTATAATCATGATTAAATTTAGAATTAAAAAAATTTGTTATTATAAAGTCTTGATTAACTGTGATTTTCATTTATCCGTGTGACCCCTTCCCTACCATTGCCCCACATAATCGAGGTTCTACTGTATTTATAATAAACCTTAAATGAAATTTTTTTTTTAAGAGTGTAAATGTGGGATTAAATTTCCAAGCTTTAGTAACTGATGGATTGTCAACTTATGGTGATGCTTTACCTTATGAAAATAATGATGAATTGTTATGGGATCCAAATGTTTTATGCGAAGAATTAATAGAAGACTATTTGGTCAAGATTCAACACATAACAAAAGCATTAAAACCATCTAACAAAGTCATAGAACAAAAAATCCGTGATAATGAAAAAGTATGTATATTTATAATTAAAGTGCAGTGTTTAATGTCTAATTAGGTATCATATATTTCTATCTTCTTGACTAGGTTAAGACTAATATTAGCTGTATTAGTCGAACATTATTTAGACTAATTTCCAAAAATTACAAAACTTCTATATTCTTAATGTTTTGTAGTTAAATATAATTTATAAATCATTACACTAAATATTAATAACTGATTTTAAAATGTATTATATTTCAAGACGTCTGTGTACCGACCACTTTTTAGTAAAAAAACAACCCGTTTTTGTTTCATTAGTACGACAAAACTACTGATGTAATAAGAATTCTGAATACAAATCTGAATTCAGCATTATATTACTTAAGTATCGTTCAGGCCCTTTTTTGAAATTTTTGATGTCTTTAACCCTTAAGTACAGTTTACAATTTTTTTTCAAAATAAATATTTTTGTTGAAGAATCACAATTTCAAAAAAGTAGCCTGACCGATATTTACGTAATATAATGCTGAATTCAGATTTGTTTTCAGAATTATTATCGTATCAGTAGTTTTGTCGTACTGATTGAATAAAAACGGGTAATTTTATATGTTCTAACAAATGGTTTTCAAACAGTAGCTATCATTTCTGACATGCTCGTACTCATATGTGCGTTATCCGCAGCAGCTATTTTATTGCCCTTAGAGTTGCGTAGGGCAATACCAAATTCGTAAAAATAGTTGCACATTAATACGTACCTGATATTACACCTGTATATATGATACTTGATTTTTTTCTTTTATCTAATGACCGAAAAAGCTATCAATGCATAGTACGAATCAAATTTTGTTGTTATTTTCTAATATAAGTGTTGCTAAAGAAATGGAGAATCATAAAACAAATATCAAAAATAAAATAGAGGTAATGTATTAACATTAAATAAATGGCTTCAAAAAAAATACCTGGGAGTTACGTGTATATAAAAATAATTTTCATACAGTTTCTTAGCTTCGATAAAAAACAGAGAAAGTATTAGTTTTACTATGATGTGTTTTCTGCCTGTATCTATCCATATCTGTATTTACTGGACTGTTATTGTTCAACGATACGCCAAAAGATCAAAAAATTAACCTTGTTGATGTATTTAGCATTATATTTTAATAAATTCTCTTTAAATCTGACACAATAACGTGTTTTTCTCAATTGCACAATATGCTTTCAACCAGAACTAACACTAAGTAACTTAATGTGATTAGCTTCTTATTTCAACACATTAGTAAACTACTTGATCATCAAATACATAAATCTTTCACATTAATTATAAAAGTGAATTTTAAACTACATACAATAAAAAAAACAGCAGCATAGTGGGGTCGTGCACAGTATGAACGTGACATAGTTGGGACAAGTATAGATGATATCTGACAGTGATTAAAATCACTATCATAAGAAACGAGTCGATGAAATTCTGTAGATAGTGTTTAATTTTAAGAAATTGGTGGATTATTCCAAAAGCAAAATTAACTCCTATTTTTTGTTGACAAAAAATAGTATATAAAAGACAAGTCGCCGGGACAAATTTTGTTTTTTAAATTTATAGTACGTAACATAAGCTTCAATTTAACATATGTTTNCTGCTATTTGTATATAAAAGACAAGTCGCCGGGACAAATTTTGTTTTTTAAATTTATAGTACGTAACATAAGCTTCAATTTAACATATGTTTAAACGACGCAGAATTTCTTGGACATTCTCAAAAGTTAAGTTGATAAAATTGAATTTTGTAAAAAAGTTTCTACTTTAAAATCCTCCTTGTTACCAAGTAAAGGATCAGATTTTCAAAAAATTTATGTAAAATAAAAGGGAAATATCTAAGGTTTTATTTAGTGATGGGCATTTTCGAATATTTTAATGAACCGAATAATGTGTTTTTAGCATAAACTATGGAATAGTTTTAAAACATTCGAATGGTTTCAAAAAATATTCGATTAGTTCTATCTAAACATTTTTTTAAGTACACTTAATTATAATAAGAAAATAATTAACAAATACTTAAAATAAATTATTATACAATTAATAATATTAAAAATTACCATTTTATTTATTTTTAGTTTGTGAGTCATTGGTAAAATCTGATAAATATGGGTCAATTCATTATTAAATTCGTTTTAGGTTCATCCCTTATGCCTTGTAAATGTATCATTATTTATTTTTTCAAATGGTAATATATATAATTATCTAACTTATAAGTTAGATAATAATATATTATTAATAAAATTACTAATCGATAACAATTTTTGGACTAGTATTTCAGAAGCTATAGCATTTTAAAAAATGAACTAGGGTGAGTCGCAGGTATATATTAGGGTGGCTCTTATTTTATTAACTTTCATTGATCAATCTCCATACCCGCCAATTTTGTTTTTTATTATATGAAAGTTATTTGTGTAAAATTTGGTTTTGATTACTTATCCCCTTCAGGTCCGAATCGGGGATGAAAATTTGATAAAAAAGGTAATTTTTCATTTTTAGATTATTATTTTTAAAACTAACACACTTAGCATAACAATGTAAGAATATAAATTATAGATTTTAATATTTTCTTCTAAAATGGTATTTACGAAAATTTTCAAAAATTATTTTTACTTGCTCAAATAATAAAATAATTTGTTAAAATATATTGAATGACTATCGAATAGTTCAATAGTTACTATTCGATATTTCCCATCACTAGTTTCTATATCAAAAACTATTTTGGTACGTTCATTTTTTAAAAAGTTATGATAGTTTAAAAAAAAAAATGTCAAAATTTACTGTATTTAAAAATTGTAACTTTTTGAAAGATTTCCTTCATTTACAGTGAACGAGGAAAATTTTTTGAATTTTTAATGTTTTTAACTAGACACGATTTGTGATATTTTGGCGTATTGTTGTAAGAAATCGGTTTGGCTAGAGCTCAGAAAAAGTGGCAGACATAAAATTAATTCCATCTAAGCTTCGCATCGAAGCAAAAATAAATACAATATATTATACATGCAGTGGGTCAAAAAAGTCTCCGTACACTGATGTCAAATTTTTTCAACAACCTAAAATAGCGACTTAAAAGTTAAATAACATCATATTTATAACACACATTTATTCAGAAACATGTTAATATGTGTTTAAAAAAAATGATGTATATATATTAATTAGTTTACTTTATACATATACATATATATATATATAAACAATTTAAAAATAGTAATAGCAAAAAAGTCTCCGAACATGTTAACAATAATATTTTAAACTTAATTAATTATAATAATAATTATTATTAATGATAAGTTGGCCCTCCTTTAGCCCTAAGAACTTCATTCGTACGTTTTTCCATGGATTCTAATAATTTTGATGTAACAGTTGAGTCAATACTTTTCGACACTTCAAAAATTGTTCAATGTATATAAACTGAATAAAACGCGCTGTTTGTCTACCGTCCTTAATGGCTACAGAAACAATGATGACATGCACTCAGATATGTGGTGCTCCATACGTAAAAGTTCATATGGGTTTTCCCCATTATAGTCCTATTTTTATCTGTAATTCATAGACATCTTTAAATATATGGTGACTTTTTTGCTATAATTTTCCTAAAATTGTTTATATATATATGTATATGTATAAAGTAAACTAATTAATATATATGCATCATTTTTTTTTTAACAAATATTAACATGTTTCTGAATAAATGTGTGTTATAAATATGAAGTTATTTAACTTTTGAGTCGCTATTTTATGTTGTTGAATAAATTTGACATCGGTGTACGGAGACTTTTGGCCCACTGTATTATTTTGGTAGAATGTTTTCAATTCTCAAACCAAAATTTTACTTGACGTACCTTAAACAAATAACGAGAAGAATTTAATAAATGAGTGAGTAATTTTTTCATAATAAAAAATTATTAAAGAAGGGCAAGTTTAAAATATAATTTATTAGAAAATTTTTTTTTTTTTTATTGAAAAATTGGAGATATTAGTTTTTATAATTATTTTGTACAATTGTACTCAGAGCGCATAATCTGTAAATATTTAGTTTTTCATACTCGTCGAAAATAGATAATTTAATTATTTTTATAGCCAATTAAAATTTGTGAAATCAAAAGGCGTCTATAAGTATTTACTGTGAAGCTGGTGATAAGCTATGAATTTTATACTATATAAAATTAACGTGTGTCGTTATTAGATCAATATAATCGTATTGCATCAAAAAGGTAGGCAGGTACACAACCGGTTTTGTTATCGATCATGACACGACGGAAATACTGCCAATAATGGACACTCACACTAATAATCATTTACTTCTCACATGACACCGCGTAACATGAAATAATCGAAAATTTTCCCATATTTGACCCCTGAAAAAAGGTCGGTACCCTGACGCCTTATTATACAGAATGATTCTTGTAACGCTAACCACTAAATTTCTCTTAAAAAAATTAATATTATAAGAAAATTATTTTTGGTATTTTCGCATGTTATAAATTTCTTAATTTATCAGTTGTTAATTTCTTTTTAGCATCATTAACTTATAAGCATGTCTACTTTATTTTTTTAAATGGATACATAAATATTAAACAATTTAAAAAACTAGTTAAATTAACTTGTATACTAATACCTATAAATAGAACAGAGTCATTATAAAAAGTTTTAGATAGAAATAAGTTAAATCTTATTATAGAACAGTGATAACATCTATACAGCCTTTAAAAAATTTTTATGAAGCTCACTACAAAATTTACCAATTGTATTTTAGAGTTTATCTTACTCTCTACTTAGTAGGTGACCCACAAGAAATTTTCAAATTTTATATTTAACCTTGCTAAAGAATATGGAGAGAAGGATTTATATTTGTATTTGAAATTAGGTTTTTTAATGAAATATATATATACTTATATATTTTATTTTATGTTATTTCGTATATTTAATCAACTAATATTAAGAAGTCTGTAAAGATTTTATTTACTTGAATTTCTTATAATTTTTAGGCATTATATTTGTTGGTTCAATGTGGACATGATGTTGCTGAGGCTATTCGCCGAATGTCTTTAAATGTTATACCAACGGAAAAATCATTAAGCGTTTGGTCAGAAGACGAAACACAGAAATTTGAAATGGGGCTTATATTAAATGGAAAAAATTTTCATGCGATACAAAAAGAGGTAATTCAACTGTTTTATAATATATATAACATTATTTATTTTTTAATAAATTTTAAATTACTTGATTATAATTTTTGTTTCAATTATTTCTCTAGGTTAAAACCAGGTCGGTTGCTGAGTTAGTACATTTTTACTATTTCTGGAAAAAAAGCGAAAGACATGATCAGTTTGAGAGAAAACAAGTTCAAATGAGACCAGAACTTAAGTAAGTTGAAAAAATAATACATTAATTTATTAATTATTTGGCTAAGATTTAAGATACATTTTCAACAATCTACTTTATACTTAAATTTTATTGAAAATGTTGAAAAACTATTATAACTATATCAAAATAAACTTAAAATGGTTTTTTACCAAGTTATTTTAAAATTTATTATTAATTTTTAATGTTTTTAAACTAGAGGGACAGGTTGGAAAATTTCTTTTTTCTAGCAGTTTTAAAGTATTACATTTAAATGATGCCAATAATATAAAAATTTAATTAGCTACCTCACAATGTCATCTATGCTCTATTTTTTATTATGATAAAATATGAAAATTTTTCTCTTAAAAATTGGTATATTATGACTTATGCCCTTCTTCAAAATACTTGCCCAAGTTTCTTGTAAACATGTTTACTAACAAATATTTTTGATAGTTAAATTATATTTTGTGATTTTTTATCATTACATGTAAACTTTTGTATTATGTACATTTGTTTACTAGTTTTATATAATTTCCATAACTTAAAAAAGAAAATCCCAGAGCAAGTTATTTAAATTTTGTAGTAGTCCAATTTTTCATCAATATTATTTTAATTTTATTGTTTATTAGTAAGCATTACTTTAATTAAAATATTAAATTCAAAAATTTAATTAATTAATATTAAATATAAGTAACTACTTATATTTATATTAAAATAATAAACCTTAGAGTCTTTATTCATGATATTTTTCTTTATTCAAGGCAATGGCAACACTGGGACTCAGAAGAAGATAGTGAATTTGAATTTCAAGAAAAAACTGCAGAAGATATTGGTGGAAATGTTATTGTTGGTGATAAGGCTCAAATGAACTGTTTAATATATGCAGATCGTAAAAGACAAGTACGAACTAAAACTTCAACAAATGTTTAAGCTAATATAAATTTGATGTGCACCCAATCAGGTACACTAATAACAAAATTAATTTATAGAATTGGTTTTCATTTCTTTTTTAGATTGAGAATTAGTAAAAGCTGAAAAAGGCTAGTTCAGTGTTTGTATGTACCTGCTGTAAAAAATGTTTTGTTATTGTTCCTCATGCTATTGTAGTAGTATCACCTTCTAAAGAAATAAGCCTACCACTTAGGCTTATTTATACATTTCACATTTTGCTCATTGAATTTTTAGTATCACAGTATGGAAGTAGTAGTCATCAGTTTAATTACAGATTTAAAATTCTTATTAGCTTTATTCTTTAGTATGAAAAATAGCAATAATAATTAGCAAGTATGAATGGTTGTTAGAAAAACAATTAAAAAAAAAATACAAACTTTTCAAATTATAATTCTTGTAGAATAATTTTTCTTCAAGATGTCTACAAATAATAAAAAAAAAATGATTACTAAAATACATTTCAGTGAATAGTTTTAAACATGCTTTAATTTAAATTTATTTATAAATTACAATTTCAAAAGTTATTTAATTCAATTTATAAATTCTCCCATCTCTAAAAGTTTGGAGAACGACATAATTTTCCTTTTTTTATAGGAATTTTCGATTCATATGCTAACATTGTTGGAAGTGCGACAGAGAGTCCTATGTAGGAAATCTTGAATGTATGTTTTATGAAACCATGAATAAAAGTTCTTGTCGTAACTATACCTTTATATTGCTTATCATACGTAAATTCTGAAAATGAAAATATAACAAAACGATTTTCTTTTTTTTTTTTGCGGCCCCAAGTTTTATCTGACATAGAAGATTTTATATAGTTATGGGGCCTAAATTTTATGTCTGTTGAGCAGTGCAAAATTGATTTATGATCTGGTATATTGAATACAATCGATTTAATTTTTTAGAAATTTTTTAATCAAACTAAAGTCCCTTATCACAGGGTAAATAATTGCGTTCTTTCACTGAGTAGGAGTGCTCCATCTCTTTAATCTTTTTATGTCAGTTAGGGCACAAAGAAATTTAGAAAATGCATGATTTTTAATTTGCTACGGGTAGTTATCTGATTATATATACATTCCTTCACCTTGACGGGTACTTCATTAACTAAATAATCCATAAGAAAAGAGCAAACCTCCTTTGGACCTTTTTTCCCCTGACCTTCATGGTATAAATAAATCTTAGCATTGTTCTTATTATTATGTATACCAAAAACATTAACATTCTCTTGATATAAATGGTAAGTTTCTGGCATTGGGATCCAATGGAACTGTCCGGTTTTGCATGAAGTCGAAATACAACGATAGGATATTATGGTTTTTGTCTACCGTGTCATTTTTAAGTTGATTGTAAAACTTCTTAGCTCCTCGCTACTTTTTTTTTTAGCCACTGCAACACGCTTATTGGCGTTACTTAAATTAGAATTTTTATCTTCACAACCAAGGCCTTGTATAAATCAACCTGTGGGGGTGATCCAAACTTCATAAAATCCAAAATCATACTGGTTTTTATAACAATTAAAAAAAAACCGATTTGCCAATTCTAACATTAGGGTGCTTAATTTTTAAAACATTTGATATATTCTTTGAATGTTTTACCTTCTATTCAAATATTTTATAACCATATCAAGATAATGAGTTTCTTAAGTAGAAAAACCTTCGATATGATCTCTTACTAACAGCAGTGTTTCGAGTGAAATAGTATATTTGATCCTTTGGAGACTTGGCATAAGCAATAGTTGTATTCTCACTAAAAACTAACTAAAACTAAAAACTAAGAACTAAAAAACTGTAGAACTAGTTTTTTAGTTCTACAGGGTATGGAAAAAAATGCTTTTAAACATACCTCTGTTCTATGATGACCTTTTAATATAAGCCCATTCAAATAAAGAAAATTGTTTTAAAGATCAGTTAAAGTATTAATTATTTTTTCATCCACCATTGTCATAATTATTGTATAATTAATTATGGCATCCTTATTCACATTTTTAACTTAAACAATTTTAATTCTGAAATATCTTTTTTAACTTCTAGTTCATTTTTTTTAGCCTCCTATGTCTTCTTCATGCATAAATTATTTTAGTTTACAGTAGCAAGTAGACAAAGGTATTGTATTTTCCCATAAAATTATTTTTACTATTGAATTTTCAGTGGTACCCGTTAGACGCAAGGATAAAGGAAAACATTAAAACATTTAGTCTGTTATATTTTAACCGCTTTTCAAAATTTCGAAAGTTTAATTGTACCCACCACTATGTTCGGAATTTCCGTCACAACCCCAATTACAAAGAAAATCAAACTTAATGTAATCATATACAAAAATTATAGTATTATTAAACTCAGATGTTATCATAATCTATTCAGTGGATGACCTAATAAATTTTGGTGTGAAACGGTAGCTTTTACTTCACTAATTTCTATGTTTTCGGGGTAACATCTTTTTTAGCTAAACAAATGCGATCATAAGAACGATAAATGTTAATTCCACATAGTTTGGCCCCTAATCTAATCTTTCGTCCTATGAGTATTGAGTAAATAATACTATTCTGTATAAGAATTGATAATTTTATATATATCCAATGAAAATGTATGCATTTTTCTAATTTCAAGGATATCTTCGAGGAGAATATTTAGTTACTTGTAAAAATAATTCAGATGCTACTCGTTTAAATTCCGCGTATAACGTTGTTTTCGTATCATGAAATAGTTCCTTATACGTTTTGAATGATCACTTAAATCAGAAAATAATTTTTCGTGGCCTAGCATGTCTTGTTGACAGCTGACAAACATTTTATTCGTTAATATGAAAGTTAAAATGTAATTCAAGCAAGTTTTCGTTTTTAATTAAAAATTTTGACATGTTCTAATTTGATACCTTCCATTTTTTACTCAACGAACTACAAAAATTCTTTAATTTTTCCCTTTACATTTTTTTCAAAGTTCTCATCAGAATACAATTGACTGCCAAATTTATTTCGTAAATATATGATTAAAGGCGTTTGAGTCTTAAAAAAACTTGAAAAGCACAACTTCTAATAAACAACGATTTTTAATTTTTCTTTCGATACCAGTTTAAACTAAGAAAAAATGAAAAATAGCTATAATTTTATCTGTAATTAAAAGAGCAATTTTGAGCAACTTCCGATATAGTAGTTTTAAGTACATATTATTATATAAAAAAACAATAATAATAATAATAACCCCCAGAACCATCAGAAATTTTCCTATTTCCATTATATGTAAATAAAGTAGAATTTCTATAATTACTTTAAACTATAATTTATTTTTTGTTATATTTATTTATGTTTCAAGATTTTAAAGAAGCTTATTGTTGTCCTTGATTATGTTTTAAAATTCATAAAGAAAATTGTTATTCAATTATCTAAAAAATCTATTGGCCATTTGAATAGTTTGAGTTAATTCAATTGCTTATTTTTTACTATTTTAGTGCCATTAGAGTATTTTAAATAAATTTTTAAATTACTTTTATTTAAATTTTAACTACTGCATGTGTAATATTGCATGTTATAGCGTTTTAGTTGACACATATATTTCTAGTTTTAATGATTAATTTTTCTTAAAAATATTTTGAAATTCCCTTTCTATATTTAGATAAATGTTTAAGCAATATATATATATTGTTTTTATACATAATTTATTAATTTTTATACATGAATATTTTTTTTACAACTTATAATCTATAATATTTCTTAATATTGAGCAATAATTATAAATAGTATATATTGAAGTTTTAAATGAAAATAAATATTTGTTGATATTAATGAAAAAAACTAAATCTTGAGATTTAATTTAAGACAATCTTGAAATTATATAAAAAAAAATTGATATTATTTTTGATTGCTATTAAATGTTATAATATTAAACATTTTATATTTATGTACTGTTGTTTAATTGTTTCATAATTAAATTTTATTCATAATATATTTTGTTACAAATTAAATTTATTGTTCTTTTAAGTTTTAATATGTAACACATTCATTTTGTTATATGTACATTACTATTTAATATCTATTATTGCCTAAATATTTAATATATATTTTCTTATTTATTTTATGTTCCTTTATCTTTTACTTATTTAATGTTTTATAGTTTAAGTTATTGTCTAATGATTTATATCACTTAAAACTAATTGTATTGTCGTATATTGTGTATAATTTAAGCTTTAGTTAAGTTTTAATATTCAAGTTTGTAACAAATTGATATATTTAAAAATATGAGTTACACATTGTTTTGTGCTACTGGTTACCAGTCATTTAATTTTTCAGTATTATATTATTTGTGTTAGTTATGTAAATTATGTTAATATCCTTAGAGATCTGAGATAAATGTTAGATTTTAACATATTTTTATTAAAAATAAAAATTTGTGTATAAATAAAAATGATATAAACTAACCTTTTGAGTTTAAAATAATTATCAATAATTCTAGTAAAATTAAAAAATAAACATCAATTCTATAGCTATTGTTCACCTGATATGACAATTTTAGTAAAATTTTAAAGTGAAGAAATCTAACCTTGTTAATATTATTAGTATTTTTATGAAAAAAACTATAAAAAATATTATTTTCTATACAAAATTCACTGCGTAACATTGGAATTTTTAGTTGTTTCTAGTTTTTACAATAATTAATAATTAGAGAAAACCACTAATTACCTAATTAATTAGTCATTTAAAAAAAAATCCTATTAAAACTTTTAATAGGCCACATATAATATTAAAAGTCTTTTTAAGAAACCCTTAGGATATATTTACTAAATATTTTCAAAAATTTGAGATTTATATCCCAAGTTTAAGTTGCTACATATGGCCTTAAAAGTTAATTTTGTTGGTCATTTTGCAAAAATCATAGCTGAACTTTTTCTTATAACTTTTTTGCTTAAACCCAATATTATATATTTTTTGTGGCTGACAGGTAATTTTATAAGGTTTTTAAAAATATAATTTTTATGTATCTAGCATAATTAGACACCAAAATAATTGCTATTAACAGTAAAAAAATGTGAAAAGCTTAATATTTCGATAATATCACAAATTTTTTATAAAAATTTATATCTTTAATTCTAAACTTAAATGTATTTTAAAATAAATATGTGCTCAATTCTATACATTTTTTAACTCCGAAAAATATTTTAATTAAGTTTCACGTATTATCATTATTTATTAAATTATATGTTGTATTTTTTATATTTCTTTTATTTGATAAACAATTTGTTTATACAAATTGTAAATAATTGCTGTAGGAGTTTTAAAACTATATCAATTAACACATTTATTAAATGTTTATCGACTTTTATTAAGTATTAGTTAATTAGTTTTTTGTACTTTCATTAGTTTTAAATATTTTTTTTGTGCTATTTTGAGTTAAATATTTTTAATATAATTTTAACAAAACAGTTTTAATGAATTTTAGTACCCGGCAAAATCCATCAATTATTCTGAATAGGTTTACAATTTAAATTTAGTTGACTATTTAATAAGTAAATTTTGAAGTATGCCGGTTTTTAAACTGTGGTAGTTATTAAATTTATTCTAAACTTTCTTTACTTTCATGTGTTTTTATTAATTGGGTTTTTTTTTTATAAAAAAAACATGTGTTTTCCTTGTGTTAAACTTAAAACAGATCACTGCATATATATTTATTTGTAAAATGACAGTTGAAATCAACTTTGAAGACAATGTGTAGTGGCTTAAACTTAAGATATAGATCTCAAATTTTACAAATAATTCTTAAATATAGCCCATTAAAAGTTTTAAAAAGGGTTTTTTGAAAAATATTTTTTTTAATGAGAAATTTATCACTTGGTTTTCACTAATTCTTGGTTATCGCAAAAACTAAAATAAACTAAAAATTCCAAGACCAGATTTGTAATCAACGGCGAAATTCCATTAGAATCAACTATTATATTATTAGGCGTGTTATAAAAATCTGAAAAACTCAAATTTGTTACTGAAGAGCGTTTGTATGTAATCAGAAGTTATTAAAAGTACATTATAGAATATATAAATATTATTACAATAAGATACAATTTTTATTAAAGATTTTAATACATAATAACAATAAAAAGTACTGTGTTAATATTAAATATAAATTTAATATTATACTAGAAATTAAAAAGTTACCTACAGTAAAATTGTAAAAGCTCTTCAAACATCATGTATTTTATGAAAAAGTGCTTAAATGTAAATCAAATAAAGTGTCGAAAATAATTGTAATATAAATCCCGGTATATCTCTTATATCTTGATATGCCTTTTTTAGAGAATTTTATTTTTTGGGAAAAAAAAACTATTTTTAATAATTATAAAATGTTCCATCTTCTTTTCTAGAATATCCATGGTTTGTCTGTGAAATATGGCTTCCGCCTTGCCCAAGCTTTATGCTATTGGCATCTTTGCGTACGCCAATTAAACCGCCTTTTTTCAATGGATGATTTCTAAATAATTTTTCAAATTTCTGGTTATTTTTCTGTTGTTTTCTATAAAAAAATAAATATAATAAGTTATACTATTGGTTTAATTTTAATGTAATTACTGTTATGCATCCCGTGCTCACCGACGGCATATTTGAAAATTACAATAGAGGAAAGAAATAATATTATTAAATTTAAAAAATACTTAAGTTATACTGTAATTTATAAAGAGGTGAATGATTTAATATTTTGAAGGAGCATAAATCAGTAGACTTCGTTGTACAAATTGTTTAAAAAGTAAAGAAACAGGTAAATTTAAAAAAAAACGGAAATAATAGAAAACCTTTTTTTATAACCTTACAAAATATTTACATAGATGCAATTCAAATAAAAAAATTAACATTTAAAATAATAAATCCACATATAACAGTGGCATTTTGCCACTGATAAAATTTGTTATCTAACATTTTTGCAATTTTAGAGTTATTTTGAACGTTTGGAGTTGATATAATTTATCAACTATCATTGTCTGTTTATATCATGCACGGGCTTCATACAATGTCCAGTAGGCTAAAACTATAATATATCATAGGGAGGTGGGTTTCCTAGCAATTAACAAAAGTCGCTGAGTGACTGGAGACATAATCCGTTTATATACCCTAACCGTTATTTTTTTCAAAGGAGAAACTATATCCCTTGCCTTCTGTTTATGATATTTACCAAAAAATATAATTTTTATTTAAAAAAGTGAATCAATTAAACTACATTAAAATAAGTTATTCAGAGACTTTTTAATTTATGGCCACTGATATGAATAAAAACTGTAGCACAGTAGGGTCGTAGCACAATATGAACGTGGCATAGTTGGAAATATCATAAGTATAGATGATATCTGACAGTGATTAAAATCACTATATAAGAAACACTTCAATGAAATTCTGTAGATGGTGTTTAATTTTAAGAAATTGGTGGATTATTCCAAAAGCAAAATTAACTCTTATTTTTTGTTTAACTTTCACTGCCATTTGTATATAAAAGACAAGTCACCGGAACAAATTTTGTTTTTTTAATTCATAGTACGTAACATAAGCTTTAATTTAACATATGTTTAAACGACGAAGAATTTCTTGAACATTCTCAAAAATTAAGTTGATAAAATTGAATTTTGTGAAAAAGTTTCTATTTTGAATCCCCCCGAGGGCTAGTAAAGGATCAGATTTTCAAAAAATGTATGTAAAATAAAAGGGAAATACCTAAAGTTTCTATATCAAAAAACCCAGCACAGTGGAGTCGCGGCATAGTGGAGATGTTGCATAGTTGGGTCCAGTATAGATTTAATCTGACAGTGATTAAAATCACTATCATAAGAAACGCTTCGATGCAAATCAGTAGATAGTGTTTAATTCTAAGAAATTGGTGGATAATTACAAAAGCTACATTATCTGCTAGTTTCTTATTAATACCCTGATTAAGATAAAGTATGTCGAATGAAAAAGGGATTATTAAAAAATATTATTTCTCATAAAAAAATTGTGTTGATTCGTACACTTTTCAATGAGTTATAGCATTATAAAGTTAAAAATGTAACCAACCCAACCCAACATCAACTCCTATTTCCTTAATTATATCCAGATTAGTAATTATTTTAATTATATATTATATAATTTTTATAATTAATTATTTTCAAATTATTATTGATTTTTAATATGTTAAAAGTAATCATTTTGAACCTACTTCTTTTTGTTCTTTAAAGTGAAAGTNAAAACTATTATTTTGGTATGTTCATTTTTCAAAAAGTTTTAATAGAAAAAAATGTAAAAATTTACCGATTTCAAAAATTGTAATTTTTTGTGGATTTTTTCCATTTAAAGGAAACGAGTGAAATTTTTTTTATTTTTAAGGGTAATGTCTTAAACTAGATATGATTTGTGATATTTTGACGTATTGTTGTAAGAAATGCGTATGACGAGAGCTGAGAAAATGTGGAGACAAACATAAAAAAACCTCATCATAATAAAATTAATACCTTCTCGGCTTCGCATTGAAGTTAAAAAGTTTACACTTTAAAGTAAATTATATGGGATGATGCCAAAAGTAATTAATAACTGATAAATCGAAATATATATGAAACTAAGGTATACTAAGAATAATTTTCTATTTCATCATAACTTTACTTAATTAATATAAATAAATGTACTAATTAGCTATATAATTTTTCCACACGAATTTTAAAAACTTACTGTAAACTTAACGTGAACGTTTTTTCTTGTAAGTAGACCTCGTTAGTTTGGGGAAATGTCATACTCGAATGATTGTAAAGAGCCATTAATGTCATATCTAGACTATCAGTAACGGTTTTTACATCTGGTCTCCATCGCACTGATCGGTGTTCGCTGGAAATAGTAGCCTTTTTGTGTAAACATGAAATACTTTCATTGCTTATCGATGAAAGTTGTGAAAGATGTCCATTTGAAACCTTAAACGTGTAACAACTTAAATATTAAAATTTGAAAATATTTTAAGTTGTTAGGTCATAGGCTTATATGTAAATGGACTTACTAACTCACAAATACTTTAACCTTTTAATTATTTTAATAAGTTAAAAAAAAAAACACTCAGAAAATTAAATTAGTCGTAATAAATATTATCTATAATAAATTATTCTTATTCTCTGTAGCATTGATAATCATTTATTGGATGGGTTTGCACATTTTCTTTTTTTAAAAGGTAAATTTCGTGCCTAAATATATTAGAAATTAATGTTATTACCTTACCTGGTCCATGCGGGACAAAACCCCGTTGTACTCAATTGTACTACATGATGATGTTCTTCTCTCCAAGTAAGTTATGTATAAAACATAAGTAGTTAATGCTCATATAGTTTTTCATCGTACGACTTTTTTGTATGGTTTAAAGTTGAAGTATGTTTGTTTCCATGAGTACAAGAGACATAAAATTTGGTTACGTTGGTGTATTTAATATGTACACAAATATAGGTAACACTATTTAACCTATTATAAAGATACTACAATAGTTTTGTAACAATTCATGACATTACATTAACAATAAATTGTCGTTTATCATGAACTTGGCCATTGTCAGAAACACAAAAGGCATGCAAATATATTTATTAAGTTCAGTTAAATAATAATTTTGAACTTTGAAATCCAAGAAATAGAAGATGCTTTTGGATTTTAAAAAGAATCGAAATATTTTAAAATTGCTTCATAGAATCATTAGTGCGGCTGTGTTTATGTATATGGAAAATTATTATTCTGTCCATACTGGGTAACTGTACGAGTTAACAATTTTGCAGTATTACATAAATGTATTATAGAGTAAAATCATAGGCATCAATTTGGCAAATTTTTTTAAGGAGGCTAGAATTGCTTCCTAATGCTGCTCGTTTTAGTCGCAATTGAAAGCTTCCTGTGCTCGCCTATGTGTTTCCCTTTATTATCGAGAAACTATTTTTCCTCTACTTATAAAACTAAATTTTTGTTATAAAAAAAGCTTGAAAAAAGATAAAGATTCGAACGCGTATTAAAATATTTTACGACGGTTTATGGCAGAGATGAGCCTCCCCTCATGATTTATTTATACGGTTAACATCATTGAATGAACAGTTAAGAGTTTTTTATATTAAAATATTTTATTAATTTATATTGTTATGCTACAATCATAAAATTAATATGAATTTCTTCTTTTAAATAGTAATGTAAAAATATTAATCATCCACTTAAACAAAATTTTTAATTCATTATTTTATTATGAATGTCAGAAATTTTTAGTGAACAAATAGAATGATATTGCAGTAAAAAGTATGATATTATAGTAAGACTAAAATTAATGAACTATCTAGCTAGAATAATTTCGACCAAAATTGTTGGTGTTTCGTAATGTTTAGATTCTTAATATAATTTTTTGTGTTGTATATTTATGTAAAAATTACTTGAAATTGCACTTTTTTTATTTTTTATATAGCGTTGTAAAGTTGTAAAATTAAACTTTTTTTTTTTTGTATATTTTTATACTCTACATGCGCATATTTTACGCATATTTTTAAATACATTTGCATATAAATCCTAGTCAAAAAAAAATTTAGTCAAGATCTAAGACTTATAGCATGCTAAGAATAACTTATATAATCATCATGCAAAATGATTATGATTATTTTTAGTGTTTGTAAAATAATTAAAAAATGGTTATATATTATGAAAACAATCTACATATTTTATTTAATAATTGCATATTCCCTCACTCAACTTAAAATTATTATGAATCAAATTACAATAATTTTACATTTAATTCGTTTTTAAAAAATAACATGTTAACAATTGTTATCATTAAATTATTATAAATTAATAATTACTTCATAGGAAATTCATAACTAAACAAGTTTTTAAGAATATAACCAATAAATAATACTATGTGAATGAAAACAATCGTATACATAGTTTTCTTATAGTTTTTTACGTCTTTATTATCATCCTTTTCGGTAATCGAGATACTATTGTTAATTTGCTTGCTTGTTTCTTTTAATGCCTCAGAATAAGACTTACTTAGAAATTCCTCATGGAAAACTATCTGTCCGATTCGTTGTAAATATAAATTAGTTGTATCGTACACAGTTCTGCGAACATGTGATAGGATATCATTCTGACGATGGAACAATTCCGATGCAATTACAATGTTTTTTCTTAAGTTGTTGAAATAATCATAGTCGAATGGCTCACTAGCACCTAAGTCTATGCATTCCTTGAAAAATTGTAGACTTTGCATGTAATTTTTCTTTTTGATATGAACTATTTCAGATTCACAATTTTTTTTGGTAGTGACAAGACTTTGACTAGTATCAAACAGTATAAAAAATATTAAGTCAAAACACAACATGAAATTCTTGCTAGAAAAAAATGATTTTAATACATTAAAATAACAAAGAGAAGTTTGTTGTTACTATGTCAAGTGTTTATTTATCACTATCAATTTCATTACTATACGCAATTAATGTTATTCCAAAAAAAGGAATAGCTTCGTAGCTAAGTAGCTATTGGTTTTAATTTGACATTCTTTTTTTTTGTCGCTATACTTGTAATAAGCATACTTTAATCCTACTGGGTCAATTTCGCTTAACGACACGCCAAAAGATTAAAAAATGAATTTAGTTTAGGCTATAAGTATCATAGTTTTAAAAATAATTTTATCCGTCCCGGTAATAAAGAGAAATGCCCCAAAAAATTAATATTGTCAATATATCAGTCAATACTGATTTTATAGTTTTCACTTTATATTGAAATAATTTTTCGAAAACTGGGTGGACTATTGTGAAATTTTTATTGATAATATTTTTAAAATTTGCCTTGCTGGTGGCATGCATTATGTTAGACAAGGTTTTGTGTGGTCTAAAAATCATTTCAACATTTTTTTTCTTTTTAAATTTTCATATTATTTTAAAAACCTACCTTCATTAAATTAAAAGCATTGCAATGTACTTTATGACAAAAAAAGAAAAATTATCCGAAATCACGGTTTTTAAAAGTTTTTAGACATTAAAACCAAAAATCATACGTTTGTTGAAATTAGGAAATTTTAAAATTTATTGTGTAGAATCTACATCATTTAAAGCTAGAATAATTATCACATCATATTCTTTTATTTTTTATTTTATATAATTTTCTAAATAAACTACCATTTTAAACCTACATAAAATCAAAAATAATACAATGTACTTGTAGATAAAAAAAAGAAAAATATCCAAAACTCGAATTTTGTAGGAGTAAACGGCCATTAAAGCAAAAAATCATAGTTTTTGGAAAAAATGTCCAGTTATGTAATATTTTATATAGTTACTAAATATTTACATCATTCTAAATTATTTAAAAATTAAATCTTATTTAATGAAATATACGAGTAAAAAAAAAAGAAACCTTCCGGTGTTTATGGATTTTTTAATTTTGTCTTCTTAGACACTTAAAACATATATTTTTAAATATTATCATTATTTAAGTTGATATGCGTTACAACAATCAAAAAAAGTTCTGGGAAGAACATGTATTTTTATAAAATTTATTAGCATTTAGATAACAATATTTAACTTATAAACAAAAATAATATAATAATGTAATTCTTTTAATAACATAATAATAAAAATAATGCTTTGGTACATAAAAATACATATAATATTCAATAATTTTTTATCATCTTTTAATAGTCACTAAAATCAATGATAATTCATACAATGTATTTCTTTTAATTTTCGAAAGCTCCCAATTCAAGTTATTACCTATGTATAATACTTGATAAAGTTATATTACACAAGTTTATTATAATTATCAAAGTAATTCAAAAGACAATATTAAAATAAAAAGTTTATTAAAGTAGATTTAAAAATTAATAATTAAAAAAATATTTGTTCTATGGGTTATATTTAATTTTCGTTTTGAGGTAACTCAACAACTCAACTTTGAACTAATTGAATTTTTTTTAATTGTAAAATTAGAATTTCTATTTCTATTATTTTAGTATAATGCTACTTGTATAGTAGTCAATACGTAATAGTTATACTTTTCATCATACAATTAGGTATTATTTCTTGTTAAGATCAACGAGGTCAGTATTTATTGACTGCGCTGAAATGTAAAATGCAAATAATTTTATTTTCGGGTCACTGCCGATTGTGTTGGAAGGAAACAACACTGTGTGCGTGTAGGTATAATGATAGGCTGTTATATATATAGCTTGTTTGAAACATTCTCCTAGAAATGCCTTTGGCGATACTTTAGGAAATAATAGATTTTGCTTTAGATTGTAATTGCTTTAATCTTTACATATGCACTATTTCTTGACAATGTCATACTGAATGCGTCATAGGCAATGTTAGCTTGTATATCAATTATTTATTTATGAAATATAACCGTTAGCGATAGCAATTCTATAAAAAATACAAAATTGACAGCCTACTTGAAAAGTATGCGATTAATCTAACCATTTTATTGTTAAGAAATAAAATAGTTGTAGCTCATATATAATTAAGTTTGTTTTGGTAAAATTCTATAAACATCTCTATTATTTTTCACGTGTTTTATTGTGGAAATTAAAGTTATATATACGGACACTTTGAAATATATTTTACATAAATCAATCAAAATAAAATTATACGTTATTAGTAATTTCTTAAACTTTTAATGGAAGTTAAAAATAATTATTTTTCATCATAACTAGATGGGTTGTACTGAAAAACATACGTAAAAAATGATTTATGTTATTAACAGTTAATAAAATTAGTGATAAAATAATTAGACACTGGAAGGATCATATTTCATAACTATATTTTATTCTTGTGATAATAAGAGTATAATTTATAGATTTTCATTCAAGTATAATTCATGTTTCTCAAATAAATAATCAAATTGTGATTTATTTACTTAATCTCACAATCCTATAATTTAGGCGAGGAAATTATAATTAAATTTATTGTCTATAATAATTTATAATCGTATTTTTGATTCCTGATTGTTTAGTCGTGAGTCATTTTCAATGTCCGCTCCTCTCACTTTTTTCGCCTTTCTTAGTTATTTACTCAATGGTGTGTTTTTAACTATTTTGAAGGTCAATAAAGTATTATACTTATTACGACCATGGAAAAATGAGTAACTTAAGCCTTAAGAAATTGAACTCTTTTAGTAGTTTATTGTTTTTATTTTTTTCAGTTTCTTACAGTTAGACGAAAATTTTAAATATACATTGTTGTTGTTTTAATATTTTAAGATAAATTGTAGTTTTGTTGCATAATTCACAGTGGTTTGAAAATAGAAAAAAGCGATCGAAATCAATTATTATTAAAATACAAAAAAAATATTATACTAGATATTTTTGAGGGTGTTGATTTGAAAAATATTTGGTTTATATTAAAATTTCCCTTTTTTTAAAAGTAAGAGGGGCTTTGTTTTATTTTTTATTCGAATTTTCGTGTTGCATGTCAATTCATATTTTTTCATAAGTACAAAGTTCAAATTTTCATTTGATTTAGAATGAACCCCTTATTAACAAATTTGGGAAAGTTTTTTGATTATATTAAAATTTTTGCACTATTTATACATTGTTTATAGTATATACCATATGTCCTATGATTAAGTTATTTTAAATTTTTATGTTAAACAGAAAAATATTATTTTTTTTAAGATAATTATATTTATTTATCATTTTAAATTCATATTAAAAAGAAAACAAAGAAAGTGAATTGGAATTCAAACATTATTTTTTTTCTCTTCAAATTAATGAGCTCATTTAATTTCTCATCTATCCCCTGACAACTAATGGATTTTTTTATGTTCATAACTTATTAAACTTAGTTTAGGATTTGAATTCTTTAAGTCTCTTAAATAAATCTTCATTATTTTTGATCATAGAACATTTTGTTTATAGTGTTCTTTAAATTTCTTTAGATCTTTTTTCGACCTCTTGTGCTTCTTCCGACGTAGGAACAACTGAATCATTTATTACTTGTGAGTCCGTGTAGTTATTAGTTATGGTCTGATAAAATAATATTAAATATAACTATCTAAGTTCGATAACAAACAATTACATTATTCAAACCACTTTATCAAATCAATATTTAATTATTGATTTAATCATAGCATCTACTGTAGGTACCATGTACAATGTACTTAAAAATAGAATTGAGTGAAATAGAAAATAAATCATCTCTTAACTTTTAAAATAACGTTTCTCAATTAAATATCAAATTTGAAAACATGCATCTTTAAAAAACTAGTTTGGTGATATTTTGGTTGTTTCACTTGAAAATATAGACAACTTAATATTTGATTGATTCTAATACATTGACTCATACTACAAATTATATAGGTTTCGTACGTTCCTTTTTTTTTGTAATAAAAAAATTTTTATCATAATAAACAATAATAAAAATTAAGTATTTTTTAAAAAAATTCAACAATTGATTTGAAAAAATAAATGTTGACCAGATTTTTTTATTTCTAGACCACTGTACGACTTTCGTAAAAAAGGATACTTTGAACATAAATAATATTTTATCAATAGTATTTATACACGGTATTATTATAGAATTTATAAAGTGACAACTTTTAGAAACAAACAGTTAGAGTTATTAAATAAAGGGTTAGTTAACCATATAATAAAATTGTTACTAAACTAACCGATTAATATGGTTATTCTAACCGTATTTTTTGCCGTGTAAGATAAGAAACAAATATAAAATTCATAATTCAGTCAAAAAGATTGACTTTTGCGATTCTTCAAAATTATAAAATTTAATTTATACTAGACCCCTTCGTCTATTTAGATAGATTAATCGATTTACCAAGGTAATTGTTTTCAAACAAATATTTTAATTAACCGATAATTATTCATCACTTTACCTTATGAACAATAAAAAAACTAATGCTTGCTATTAAAGATTCATAAATTCAAAAATTTTGAAATTTTGAAATTGGTTTGGAAATAAATATCAGAAGGATTATTATCTTTATTATAATTAAGTTTTATTCGCAAAAATGTATAAAAATATATACATTTACATTGTACTTACGTTTCAATGCGTAGCTGAAAGTTATTTAATCTAATTTAATTTATTACTCATTTATTTTTATATAACCTTTTAAAAATAAGAGTGCATTTACTTTTTATTTTGGCATTATCTAAACTAAGAAATGAACAACTCTGATTATTTAAAATTAGTCATTATACTTTGTGTTTTAGTTTATTAAAACACCTCATTATTTATTTTACACTTTTTTAGACACATCTTCATGTTTGGAATTATTATTTATATTTTATTAAAAATAATAGATAATACATAGGTAACCGCTGTTTCTTTTAACTTTATCAAAAATATTAAATCATAAGTATTATAGCTCATTAATTTTTCATAGATCTAATATTAGTGGTAAAGACCTTGTCAATGGATATAACGTACTACTGAATAAAAATTATGAATGATGTTATCATTGCATTTGAGTACTTTTACTTTAAAATGAGTGAAAATACATTAATACTGCAACGAAAGCAACTTTTTAAGAGTTTTTTTGTGTTGGTACTCCTTGTATTATAATAGGTATAATATATTAACTTTATAATATTTTTCTTTGAAATGTCCTACAGTTTTTCCAAGGTACTTTTTTATGACCCTTGACATATGAAAATAATTGTAATTATATAAAACAATATTATGACATATATCGATCAATTTTCTTACTAAAAATATGTTACTAAAAAATATTTATATGACAAATTTAAGTGTAACTGAATCCTTGATGGTATTTTTTTATGCAATAAACCTCTCTCTTGATACTTACGCAAGGTCTTAGTATATAAAAAAAATAGATAGTAAAATTCTAGATAGTATTTTTTCAAAATTTTAAGCTCATTTTTAATGTATTAAAAATAGTTAATATTTTTATAATTTCTTGTTCTTAAGTATTCTAATTTGAAAACTTAAAAAATTTATTTTAACTAAAAGGATTTAATATGATGTTTTTAAAATTTTTATTTGGATATTTTTTAAATTCTTGACTACCCAAAGACAGATATTTATTTAAAAAGTTTATAATATTTAGCCTTATATACACAGGTAGTAATTTTTATTTAATATAATTGTTTATTATATAATAATTATATTAAGATTATTATTACCACAAAACTCTTTTAAAATCAATTATCTCATAAAAATATTGTTACAGTAATCAATTACCTATTTTAACCTTGAGTAAAAACTATTGACATAATTGTAGGTCTACTACAATAGATTAGGCTACTTTAACATCATTAAACTACCATTCATAAATGCTATGGAAAAATTGTATTTATTACTAAACAAAAAATTAAAAATCGTTGCACAAGAAGTCTAAACTATTTTCATATGTGAATGAATAAGAAATTAAATTTAAAACACAAAATGACCCCACAAGGTTATAGTCTTTTTTTCAGTCAAATAAATGTAGTAATAAAATATCTTTTAGAGTAAATTTCTGCGGTTCCTATTCGCATTAATTTTTATCTCAATGTTAAAATCATTTACTTTTGACCCTATTGACATGAATGTTTTTGAGATTATGCATTTATTTTACAATACATTCAATTTGTACCTATTTCATTACGTTAGTAAAATTAAATATTGTATCAATTAACTACGTCAGTACGATAAAATTTTAATTTGTTAAATTGTGATTGTTATGTTATTATGTATTTTAATATTATCCATAAAATAATAGTACTAAATTGGAGTTTTAACCATCAAAATTCGACTTAAATAATTCTGTAGTCAAAAGAGCTGTTATCCTAATTATTTGCAGGAAAAATAATAAAATCATGAGTCTCCGAAAAACAACACAAATTGGTTATTTTTTCGATTTATTTGAATTTGATTATAAAAAAAAACAGTTTTTACTAAGGTTAATAACCTTTCAACCCTACTCAACTACCGCATTAGCTATTAATATAAATAATGCAATGAAATAATCGGTTTTTGGATATTTTTTTCAAAAACTTAAAAATGAATAAAAAAAATCTCACTATTTAAATTTTTTTTTAGTTCATCAAATGTAAAATTAGAATTTTAAATTAATTATATGGTAAATCTACCGAAGAATAGAAAAGTGTACATTATGTATTTGTTCTTTTAAATTAAATTTATTTGAGTATTAAATTAAGATTTAAATTATTTGTTTATTTTTATTGGTTACAATCATTGCATAGTATCACGATACGAGAAATAAAAAATTTAATCCTTGAGGAAAAACACATATATTAAACTAGAGCTTTAACAGGTTGATTTGTTTTAAATGAAATTCCTAATAGAGCACTATGGTAACTTTAAAAGTTGAATTAGTCAAATTCAAACTTTAATCATTAAATTCCATCGTTGAAAATTAAAAAAAAAAAATTCTGTCGATTTTCCCAAATTGGTTAAAAATAACTGAAATAATAGCATACTTATTAATGTTTAAAAATTTGCTATAAATAACAACTAAGTTAAAATATTTCGAAGAATACATTTAGGGGAAATGAGATTGAGTTGGTGTGTACATACATATCTCATTCAAGACCATTTGTATGGACATTTCAAATGTAAGACTGGCCAGATACTAATGCAATAGTCAATGTCATAAATTCAACAGTTCCCTGTTATCAAGTGAAACGCACGTGTGTGGTGGCGAAATTGTTAAGGTACGATAACACAGACGGCAGTAACGACGAAGCAAAAGGTTATGGGCCAAAAATGATAATATCAAGTTATTCAATTACAACAACGTAACACGCGAGGTTGCGGATAATAGTTTAGTTTGTCGGCAGTTCTCCCTCTAGCTCATTATTTACCGGAGTGTTATGTCAACGTCTTTGCGGTGGTGTTGAAGTTTGAACTTGACAACCAAAAAGTGAACGTGCACGTCTAATGGTAAAAGTAGGTCAGTTCTTTCGTGGTCGATATTAATGTTATAGTACTGAACTCGAGCCGTCTCACAACAATCAAAGTTTTCATGTTGTTAAGTCGGTAGGTACTTACATTTTGTGACAATATTGTTAGTGACTACCATTATTTTTAATAAAGTATAACGATATTTTTGTTGTTATTAATATTTGCCTGTGACTATTTCCTATGTAGTTATTTTAAAAGCAAGCCAGTTGAACTTTCTATTAAGTCACCATTAGTAACTTTTAAGTTGGACCAGTATCAGTAAACCTATCGTTGTAATTCTATACAATCAGCGAGCCCTTGTGCTGTCAATGTTTGGTAAAGCCAGTGGTTACTATAATCTAGAACGTGCCAATATGAGTAAGTTGATTAGAATTATATTAAAAAATAATTTATATTATCTCAGTTGATTAAAGCAAATTTTGTGTCTTTATCTTTACAAAGTTATACTATAATGTAAAATTGTTTGGAAAAATATCTATATTAGAATTATTTTTTAAGTAGGTTTATTGTTTTTCTCCCAATATTAAAATTTATATGCAGTCTATATTTATTGCATAAAAATTGTACAATTTTTAACTTTAAAGCAAACTAAAAGTGAAAAATTATTTATAACTTAAATTTTTTTAACATGAAATGAAATGATATTTATTTATTTAATAAAAAGTAAGAAACAATATTTTTGGGATAACATGTTCTATTATTAGTTCATAGTACTAGTATAAAGTTTTAATGTTTATAGATTATATCATGTTACAAATAATTTAAAAAAAATGTTTGTCTTTTTTAATGATTATTTATTATGCCTATATTTTCCAATTTAAAGATAACATACTTAAATCTATTTTAGGGTTGTCAGAACTTAAGCACAAAAAAAATTTGTATGAGAACCTTAAATTAACTTTATTTTTAATGGAATAAAAATAAGAGATAAGGCATTATAAAAGAATACACAAAGTTCTATTCTTAGAAATAAAATTAAAAGTATTAAGAGTGGGAGATAAAATTAGTCTCCAAAATTTTTTTCAAGATATGTTGATAACAATAGAAGTTTTACATATATCTTTAAGTTGCAGTGAATTTTAATATTTTGATATAATACTCAAAAAAAAAAAAATAATAATTGTTGAAAAATTTGTTAAAAATACTTCATATTAAAAACTAAGATATTTTATAAAATAATTAATTACATTATTATAGATACAATACCTAAATTTTTCAAGAAAATATTTTTTTAGTAGAAATTAGTGTATAAACATGTTAGTGTATAACATTAGTATATAAACTCAAATTCGACATTTTTGTTGATCAGTTTAACCTGTCATAACATTAATAAATTATGTTATAAATATTTGATTTGATAAATGATAAAAGATTGTAAAAAATTAAAATTTGTTTTAAAACTATTAATTATGAATTATGGACATTCAAAGAATGTCATGACAGTGTTTCAAATATGTAAATATTATTCCTGAAATATTTAAAACTTTTTTATTTAATTGTTCGTTAATTATGGAATAATAAATTTTTAGTTCTAAGTTATTAAATAGAAAATCAATATTTGTAACTTAAATGGTATTTTCAAATTCTTTGTTTAATTAATAAAGTCCTTGAAATTTATTTAACTATGTATGTATAAAATTAATAAATTTATTATTACAATAAGGTTTACCAGTGTGAATGGTAATAAAACTTACAGTACAAAATAGTGAAAAAATCAAATTTTTTAAAAAACTATTTATTTTAATGATACTATAATTAAAATCTCTTGGGTTACACTATTTTGATTAGTTAAAATAGGAAATTCTGTTGAACTTATTTAAAAGGTTTTAATAAATTATTTAATTTTATTCAATAATAATACTGTGTTTTGGTGTGTAATATTGTAGATATTATATTCATTCTCAAAACTTCAAAAAAAATTTTTTCATTATTAATTGTAGTAATTTATTGCAATTATGTGCAGTAACATGCATTAGATATTAACCTCTGAAAGAAAATAAATAATTTTTTTTCTCGTAATTATTATGTTTTATTATTTAAACAAGGATTTATTTTCAATATTTGAGTTGTGGTTTTGCTGCATGTTAAATGAAATTCTTCATTTATTACAAATGATAATGTAATATTTTTACTTCAAATTATGTATTAAATATATATATATATATATATATTAAAATCTTTTTTCTGTTATTAATATAAGTCTTATTTAAATGACTTTACTTTTTGATTAATGACATAATTTTTTTAAACTTTTATTATATGTTATAGTGTTATATTTAAAATTAACTTATTTTCTAGTAGAGCGAGATATAATACATTTTTGTTTTTTTCATTTCCTTGTAAAATATTAATTAAATTTAATACTGTTGTTTCTCTTTCCTCAGAGGGGGTTGAGTTAATATAAATATAATAATTTTAGTAACTCATAACGGACTAATTTTTTGAATTAGTAAATTCTCATTATACTTATTGTTAATGAATGTTTGGTATAAAATTTAAACACAGTAGAACCTTTTAATTTAAACTTTTAAGTTTGCTTTTAAAGACTACAATTATAATATATTTAAACATTTAATTGTGTACAGAATGGAACTGACAAATTTTACAGAATATATAACTAAAGAGTTATTTTTGTATTGTATTATTATTTAATATTTTTTATAACCGTTAAAATTTATAATTACTAAAATTAATTTTATTTCTAACATTTTGGTTATTTTTAAATACTGAAATAGTATTTACTTTTATTTTTATATAAATATTTATAAAGATAGTTCACAATGTTTTGACGAGTCTAATAACTTTTGTTTCAGCAAAAGTTATGTGTTTGTTTATTTAATACATTTTACAGTTTATGACTATATTAAAAACATATTTTTTTTTATTTCTCTAATAAGAAAAGAAAAATTACATTTTTTAATTTTATTCATACAAAAAATTTGATGTGTCAAAAACAATTTTAGGATAAGTACTTATTAAATTATAAATATTTTAATGCAATGAGTGAGTATGTAGTACAGGTGGGTGTAGCTCGTACTAAAAAAATGCATTTAAGGTAGTCCGTTTTTTCAGTGCTTGAATATGTATTTTTGCGTTTTAGTTTTTCAGTTTTATTAAGTAATTTTTATTTTGCGAGTTATTGTGTATCAAATTTAACAAAAATGTTAAACTTGTTTTTTATTTCTGGTTATTCCAAACATGTAAATTTAAAAATTTTAATTTCGCATTAGCTATTTGGAAACCTGTTAAATTGTTGTCTTGTTTTATTATTATGTACATTATATATATATATAATGTTTGAATGATTAGTGCAGATATTTGTGTTTGTTATCAGACTCGCCAGTCCTCTCTCACATTAAATCCACTAACGTGTATTCCGAAGAAATACGTAATAGAATAAACGAATTGTTTTCAAGTTGTAAAATTAATCGAATCGAAATATTAGCGTATTTTATCCAATTGCACTTAAAATTGTTTTATTACAATTTTTCGTATAGGTAGTTAATAAAAAAAATTATCAATGTCTAGTAAAACCTGTTATAAGTTAAGTAAATATATTGCAAGGTCAATTGATTGTTTATAATAAAGAATATGGAGAGTGTAAAAATTATATTTTCAGATTAGAGGTTAATTTATATTAAAATATGAAAATATCCAAATAATTAAAGAATAAAATGAAGTTTAACCAGTACACCATTGTATTAGGTTTGACGCGAAGGTGTGATAATACTAAATGTGTCATAATTTCAATAGATGTTTAAACAGCGCTACTCACTTTTCTAATCATTCAATATTATAATAGACTGTAATTCTATATTAAGACAAGGTCATAGGTTAAAGAAGGTTTTATACAATGTTTATACAATACAATGTATTAATGTAGATTTATTATCGAAAAAGCAATAATAAAATATCATTATAAAATATTTTTATTACGTAGGTAAAACACTGATATACGAATTATCACTTAAAAATAAATATTTAAGAAATTCATTCTTTTAAAATAAATTTCACATAATCGGCCCCGTATATTATAAAACGATTGGCTATTTTAATTACATTTGTATATATTATTTTAAATTTCGTTTATTTCTAACTTATGAAATAATTCTTGAATGATTTGAAAAAGAATTGAACAAATTTTTTTATATATGTCATGTAGTATAAAAAGTTTAAAATAATAATTATAAAAATTGTGTTATCGTAAAAAGAAAATACACGAAAAGGATATTTTTTCACATTATAATATTAGATATTATTTAGTATTCTTGTATTATATATAGATCCAAATTATGAAACATGCGAATTTTGAAGAGGTTTAGTCTTAAAATTGTAGCTTCAATACAAATTTGATGAGTTATTGATTTTGTGATGGAGTGTTTTTTTTTTATGGCCCCTAAAAAATTCTCAGATTTCACTAGGCTGATTTTAATGATCAATATGTTAAAAGAACCTGATTTTAATCTAATTGAACCAGCGCCAAAAATTTGAAAAAATTCCCTCATTTTGAGAAATTAAAAAAAAAAACCTTTCAAAATTTTGCTACCACAAAAAAAGCATTTTCAAAAAAACTTTTTTTAACTGACGTAACTGTTTTTTAGAATACTGATCTAGGTGAAATTTTAATAAAATTTTTATTAGATACAATAAGTTTTCTTTTAGTATGATTTCTCTGAAAATCCTATAGAAATCTAAGTGCAGTAATGGGTTTGAAAGAGACCACCTAAGCATGTAAATTTTTTTTTAACTCGATTTTTAAAATGTTCCAGATAATCGACAAATTCTAACTTATATCAAAGTGTACTACAATATTAAAAAAAAAATTGTTGTACTATATTGCAAACAAACGCAAGTTTAAAAAAAAAATCACATTATTTTTAATTAAACAAATATTTAATATTCTAGTGAAATTGACTTCCTCAAAATGTTTTTTAATTTGTAGTTATGTTAATGATTATTAAAGTGATTTGGTACATAGACTATTAATATTATTTTGCTATGTCGAAATTCAAGTGCTATTATATACCTTATATCCATACACTTAAATAGGTTTATAGAATTAGTAATATCTGATATTTTGTAAAATATATTGTTTCTATTTCAATGTAAAATATTGATTTTATTTCATTTTTGTATTACTAGATAATTTAGATGAAGCTTTGACCCTTATCAAGGCGTCCTTGAATTCCCCTCAAATGGACGTCGAGGGAGCTCATTATGATCAAAATATTACTCACTTGATAGTCGTTATGGGTGCTTCAGTATGATGAATTTTTTATTTTGAAAAATGTTCTGAGGTGTGCAAATATAAACTAACTTTTGCTGTTTTGTAGGGTGATTTGGCTAAAAAAAAAATTTATCCTACTCTTTGGATGTTGTTCAGAGATAGCTTAATACCAGAAAAAACTTATATCTATGGATATTCCCGATCAAAGCTAACCATGGATCAAATTAAGGCTAACTGTACACCATATTTAAAAGTATACTATTCATTTAAATATTAATTATTATTTGTTATAATTAATTTGGATTTTTAAACGTAATAAGTGTAGTGAACATGAGAAAGATCGTCTTGCTGATTTTTGGTCTTATAATTTCTATGTCAGTGGATCATATGATGCTGTTTCTGATTATCAGAATTTGAGTAACAAACTTGCTAGTCACGAATCATCAGGACCATCAAATAGATTATTTTATCTAGCCATTCCTCCATCTCTATTTGAACAAACTACTACTCATATTCAGGAAACATGTATGAACAACAAGTAAGTTAATATTTTCTACCCAGCTAAAGTAATACATTTTTATAATTTAATAATCTATTTATTTCAAGGGGTTGGTCTCGTATTATTATTGAAAAACCATTTGGGCGAGATGCTGACAGTTCTGAAAAACTTAGTAGTCATTTAGCCAAACTATTTAGTGAAGATCAAGTTTATCGTATAGATCATTACCTTGGAAAAGAAATGGTACAGAATTTAATGACGTTACGGTAATTTTCAATGTTAACATTTAATATTATTAATCTTCAATTTCTAAATTTTTAAATAAGTCTTATCCTTAGATTTTTTTATTTTTAAAAATGTTTTAGGTTCCTTAAAAAAAAAAATTATTTCCTTGTGTCAAACAAAAAATGGATTCATTTCTGTTTTTTCTTTTCTTTTTAGTGGTATTCTATTTTTTACACTTTCGTTTAAAAAATGAATAAATTCCTTTTCAGTTCACATTTTTAAAAATATATTAATAAAAAATTTTTATTTTCGTTGTATTGGAATTTTTACTGATTATGTTTTGGTTAGGTTACACTTTAATGACCGTTATATAATAATTAGAAACATAATTCATTGTGTTTTTATTGCTCATAAAATAAATTTTATTTTTATTAGTTAATACAAGATCTATTTATTTGATGAATTGTTTTTTAATCCTATATTTATATTTTTAAGCCAATTTAAATATTTAATATTCAATATTTAAATATATATTACTATATTAGTTTAACCTTTAACATTTCTTATTTGATGATTGTAATAATTTATTGCAATACACTAGCATACGAATAACTGTCTCTCCTAGGGTATTATTACTACCCCTCATAAAGTCCTGCCTTCACGTCCACGTAGTGTAACTCAGGCAACTGATTCCACTCTGGGATCCAGCTAACGAGGGAGGCCACACTACATTGTGAGTTTTAGAGACAGTGTGGACCACCCGAAGTAATGCCTAACGGCAATTCCAGAGCAATCCTAAACAATGTCAGTTGTGTAAAAAAAAAAAGGGTATTATTATTATAGAATTTCTTCAGAACACTAAGTGTTTTTAAAGCTATTTACATCTTCTAAATTTCTGTAGCCCAAAGTATTTATATTTTTAATATTTAAAATTTCTAATGATAAAAAAATCAAAATGTCTTCTATCACCTAAAACTGAAAGTACAAGTATATAAATTATGTAACTAAATTTAAAGTTTTAATTAATTTTTTTAAAGAGAATATAGAATACAATGTAACTAATCTATTATTTGAAAAAAATTAAGGTTTGGAAATCGAATGTTCAGTACTGGGTGGAATAGAGATAATATTGCTCAGGTTCAAATTACTTTTAAAGAACCTTTTGGAACAGAAGGACGTGGTGGTTATTTTGATAGCTTTGGAATTATAAGAGATGTTATGCAAAATCATTTACTTCAAATTCTTAGTTTGTTAGCCATGGAAAAACCTGCAACAATTCATCCCGATGATGTTCGAAATGAAAAAGTAATTTTCTTCCTAATATTATACTTAAATTTTTATATATTTACAAAAAAAGTATTATTAACAAATAATTAATCCTTGTTAAAAAATACCTTAGAATTTTTATAGTAAATTTGATTAGATTAAGTAGTTTAAGGTACATTTCTAGAGTTTTGTTCAAGAAAGACCCATATATTTTTTTGGTTACCACAAATATCCTTTTTTTTATTATCTAAAAGAATGTACGTTTTCTTTTGGATCCATTCAGTGATTTCCAACTTATTAATATTTTACGTAATAATTAAATTTAATTTAAACTAATTATTATACCTATTTTTTTGAAAAAAAAAAATTATTATGAATTATTAACTAGGTTAAAGTTTTGAAGTGTATTCCACAAGTTCAACTATCAGATGTAGTTCTTGGACAATATGTTGGAAACCCAGAAGCTACCGAGGATCATAAAAAGTTTGGATATTGCGATGACAAAACTGTGCCAGAAGGTTCAAAAACGGCTACATATGCATCAGCTGTACTTAAAATAAACAATGAACGTTGGGACGGTGTGCCATTCATTTTGAAATGTGGAAAAGGTGTGTAAAGATGTACAAATTACACCAGAGTTTACGACTTTAAAGTACTTTTATATTTATAGCTTTAAATGAACGAAAGGCTGAAATACGTCTTCAGTATCATGATGTACCTGGAGATATTTTTGGTGGAGTTTTGAAAAGAAATGAACTTGTAATTAGAGTACAACCTGATGAAGCTGTTTACATAAAAATGATGACTAAACGACCAGGAATTGGATTTGAAATGGAAGAAACTGAATTAGATCTTTCTTACAATAGTCGTTATAAGGTATTAAATTCAATTTAAAAATTATTCTTGGTAATTATTCTACTAATTATTTTGTTATGAAGTAAAATATTATTAATTTTCAATGTAGAATGTCAAGTTGCCCGATGCATATGAAAGACTGATTCTTGATGTTTTCTGTGGTTCACAAATGCACTTTGTGCGTTCAGATGAATTGTCAGAAGCTTGGCGTATATTCACCCCTCTTTTACATGAGATTGAAGCAACTAACCCTACTCCAATACCCTATAAGTTAGTATCACTTTACTACTTTTTAAATGATTTTTAAAAGTACAAAATTCTGTCTACCTATTATATTTGAGTTCATTTAAGTCATTGAACTTTTACCATTTTGGATTGTTCAAATAAACTATAGTCTCGTACAGTTTTGATTCTGGCATCAATAAAATTCATAGTCAAAGGGGAACATTAATGAAAAGTTATAAATTCGATTTATTTTCATAAGATTATTTTTTTATGATAAATAATTCAAAATTTTATATACTTTTTTTTAGATATGGTACTCGTGGTCCAACTGAAGGAGACCAACTTGCTCTTAAACATAACTTTAAATATTATGGATCATACAAATGGATAAAACCATAAAGAAATCTTATAACATCATTTTTAGTTCATGCAATGAAATTTATTTATGAGGATTTGTGATGCATAATAAACTATGTTTATACTTTTAATATTTTGTTTTTAAATAACATTTTAGGTCGTTCCAAAATATATTTATTTGATTTTTTTTTTTTATTAGAACTATGTAATTTTTTTGTAAAAATGTATTTACTATATATATTTTTGAATTATCTTATAAATTGTACTAATGAATAAATTTTTGTGATGTATACCATTATTATTTTTAATAAGCAATAATTATTGAAAAAAAGGATTAATCTTATTTCTTACACCATACAGACACTGAAATTTAAGAATAAAAATAAATTTATCAATGTTTTTTTTATATTTCATTCAGTATTATTTTAATTTTTGATCCATCATGCTATAATATTTCATGACTTAATATTCAAAGTATAATTATATCATATTTGAAGTATTAAGAAATGTTTTTCTGTAATATTTAAATTAATTATTATTTTAACAGGGTATGGTACAATGATTGTTATATGTTGTTTGTTAAAAGACAATGCTATGCATTAAAAAATGTTAAGTGTTAATTTTTTTTATTCAAATAGTGTACTTTTGTGACAGGGTAATTAAATTGTTGTTAAAATCTCGCAGATTTCATATTTTTAAATGAAATATATATTAATATCTTTAAATGAATGACTAACTTGTTTTATTTTTGGTATAAATCCTATATAGTTTTTTTACTACCAAAGGATTTATATAGTTTAAAATGAAATAACTCATTAAGTAATTTATTTTACAAGAGTTTTTCATTGACTACTTAATTTATACACATTAATATGTATTTATAAATCTTATAATTAAGATATTTATTTTTATATCAAAAAATGTTTAATGAAAATTTTTTTGTTTCCTTTTTTTCAATATGTACTTATAGAAATCATTATTTTTAATTAATTTGCATAGGAATATAAAATTCTTAAAGGTTTATATATTATTTTTTTTATTTTCAAAAAATTAAATATTCAAAATTATAGTATTTTATAGTTTAACTCGCTGAAAATTCAATTATATTCACCTCCCACTGTTATACTTATATCATCACCAACAGTTTCAGTTTTGTGGTACCAGATATTGGTATCTAAAATAACTGAAATAAAAATACATATATAATGAGATAAATCATAGATCAAGAAAAGAAGTTTTTAATGATAAGTAAGAACTATTCTAATTCAGATTCTGATTGTATTAGTAAGCAACCAAGATTACTTCGAAGAAGGACCGTTTTAAAATAGGGTCCAGAAAGATAAACTATGGTCCATTAAATAAATATATAACAAAGATAAATAAATTATTTTCGAAATAATTTTTTAAAATATTGCCAAATACTAAATATTATCAGTTATCCATATCTTTAATTTATCAAAATTTTTCCAGTTAACTGCCCAGTATAAGTATAAGTTTTTATAAACATGGCCTTGTTCTTTATCTCAAAAAAATTAACAAATTTGCTTGTATTATAAAAAAAAAAATTACTGTAAAGGTTATAATTTTTTTAATATGCATACACAAAAAATGAATTGAGAAAAAAAGGTATGATTTCCTTGGACCATTTGAAAAAATAGTCTTAATATTTTATGATAATATATTTAACTATAAAATATTTAGACAGTCACTAATAATCTTACTTATAAAACCAGATTCCATTTCAATTTCATAATGTTTTTTGCATTTGAAAAAACATTCCAGCGGTGTTCTCAAAGTCCATTTTTTTGATCCTCTGAGCTGAGTTTGCCACGAAGGATATCCTACTTTATCTATCTAAAAATAAAAATTAATTACATTTATGTGTTCCCATAATATATATCCCAATGGAATATTATCCCATAAAAGAAAATAGTTTATTAAGCATACTGTTTCATATTTATTTGTTATATAATGATTTTTTTTAAAAAAATGTGAAGGTATAATTTTAATTATACAATTTGATAAATAAGTTATTATTTACGAAAAAATGAGTGGTATGCTAAATAAATTACTTTGTATAATATTTAAATAATATATTCCCATTAAAGTAAAAGAATACATGTTCATATTAATATAAGTTTTAATAAACCGATTTCGAAATTGATTTGAATAGCGGAATAAATTTAAAATGTTTTTATAATAGGTTGAAATCCAAAAAAGTGCAACTTGTTTTACTACTCAAAATTGTATACAATAAAACAATTTTTTACAAAAATTATCAAATCAAAAAATCCAAATACACAAATATCCAAAAAAATTTAAAAGAAATTTTTAACTCAGATAAATAAAAATCGTTATAATACAAAATGTCTGTAAACTTTATTTAATGTTATTATATTACAACATTAGAATGTTATTTCAAAACTATGTACAAATTTCATAGGCACAAATATTGTTTCGAACTTGAGGGTGTTTAAGTTCTAAAGACCAAAAAAAAAAAATTGTTCGCTAAGCTCGATATGATTTTACCAATCTTTTTTTTTATATGTTTATAAATAAACAACTATGTATAACATTATGTACTTCCTACCCATGTAGTATTTTAACTATAGCTGTTGAAAACAAGACATATTACTAGTTTCAAGTAAAGTACACACACTATACGATGACATTGCACATTCACAATATTAAAAGACAAAATTTCAAGAAAAACAGCAATTATTTATATAGTAATAAAAGAAATTATTTTATATTTCCCTATAAACATTTTAAAATAATGGTAAAATTTACTTTTGATGTTAACTAGTCAAAGCGCCCACCTATTTGCTCATATGACGATTTGTATTTATTGTGTATTATGTTTTACATATAATAATAATTATCTAGTAAAATATCTCTTGACAATAATTCAAATTATAATTCCCTACTATTTTATTCATCGAGATAAATAAAAATTATTGTATTGTTTATCTATCTCAATTATTTTATTATACATTTAAAATATTACAAATTTGTTTCAGGAATTCATAAGATATTGCACAACATAATTAATCTTGTAATATCATTAAAGGCTGTATATGGTGATCTAAAAATAAATTCATCATATTGTATTTAGGACTATTAAAAGGATTCTCATCAGATAGGCGCCAAAATAAGAGAGTATGTTAAAAATTACACATGATTTTATTAGATAAGATACAATTTTATTTAATTTGTGGTATCGACAATAGATAATATAAACAACATATCGATGCTTTAAAAACGATTTTACTTCCATAAAACTTTCCATAGCTATGGGACTATGTAAGGTAAAAACTTAGGTAACCCATAAAGAACTATTATTAATAAACCATATTATTTATGTCAATAATTGTTGAATTACCATGTAACACATACGCTTTATTATGTAGCACATTAGGTCAGGGTTATGCATACGGGCACTAGTTCGGTATTTTTTAACAAATATCGAAATCTTGTACCAGGAATTCATAAGGACTAATGTTTGTGCACATCCAGGTGTCTCGAGTAAATGTCCAGCGTCTCGCTGCCTCTTATCAAGTGGCCACTAACATAGTTCTATTGTATGAATAACGATGTTATATGACGATGATTCACACGAGTCCCGTTACAAAAATTCTAATTTTATCCGAAATTCTGCACGATTAACACCTGTAAAGACTTACGTTTTTACGCGGAATTTGGACGCTAAGAAATTCCTCAAGTTTCATTATGTAACCAAAGCGGCTAATCGAATTTCAACAGTCACCACCAATCAATCGTCGACGGCTGTTGTGTAACGGCGGAATACAGATTATCAGTACATTAATCGACCTGATATAATTATTGTCAGCTATAGATATAGCTGACAGCAGCAGTTTTATCAACTCGTTGCTGGAATAGCCTTCAGCAAGGGTTTTGCATTAAGCTAATGCCAATTTCTGATCTTTGCATCGTTAGCACTAACTTATGTCACATTACTACTAATCATAGTCATAGCATACTAATGTTTAACTTTGTCTATTTAAACTGAAGTGTTCGCCTTCTGAATTCCTGGTACCATTTTATAAGGTTTTGACTCTCAATCACAAAGAAGGAATTAATCATAACTCATTTTTATGAACGTCCACGATTAGATGTTTATGAAAATAAATTACTTATTCACAAAATTTGGGGTGTTTCTAGATAACTGAAAATGTTATGACAACAAAATTCTTATCAAAAATTGTATTACATTATGATTTTCTTTTTTTTTTTAATTACGTTATTGAAAATCATTGTCATTATGTTATAAACTGGTAGCACAATTCAATTAATGTTCCATTAAAGAAGTCGTCTTTTAAAAATGAGTACGCTTTTTCTTTGGTCTCCTCTTAATCTTAAACGGCTGGAACTTGTTAAAAATCGAATAGTACACAACATTTTTTTTTCATTTGAATAAATCTGATGATAAAAAAAAATTGAATTACCATTTGAAAATCGAAAGTTAGTATGAATTTAAGATAAAAGGGATGGTAACAGAAAATTCATTTTTTGCGTAAAGCAGCTCAACAAAAAATTAATATTGTTAAAAAAATAAAATAAAGATTAGTTCTAATATTTTCAAAGATACTTATATGACACATAGTTAACAAATCATTCTTTTTGTATAAAACAACTTTTCAAGATCATTGATCCCTGAGGTTTAAGTTCATTGAGTTATTTTCACTTACATGCATTGGAGCTCCGTGACCAGGGGTTCCCATAAATATCCATAAAGTTTGTTTTATATCTGATTCGGGAGACAAAAAACTGGGAATAGCCACATAATTTTTAAGACGATTTATATATTTGAGTTCACAAATACTCCTGTGGTAAAAAAAAATATATTTATTTCAATTACCATACTTCTATACTTTCTAAAAATCAAGAAAGTTAACAATATTAAAAATTTTAGAAATATACTTATAATATATATACTTAATTTATATATACTTGAAATTAACTTTCTTTTGGAACAGGCAAAATGTTTATACGATTTAATTGCGTTATATATTTTTTTTTTTGGTAGCAATGGACAACTAATTTGAAATTACAAGTACGAAGAAATTTCATCAAGCTGAACATTACCAGATGCTTTATAATAATAATATGAAAGATTTAACTACTAAAAGTAATTTTTATAAATAAGTAAATTAATGAAAAATATGGTTAATTTACTTTACTTTCGTCGTAAATGTAACGATTATTAAAATGTTTATTTTACTTTCGTTTTAGTGGCGATAATTAACTAAATGATAGGAACGTTAGTGTTAATATTCCATTCCAATGGCTTTTGCGGTCATCAGACTAATCTCAACAAATTTAATCTATTACTAGACCTTCGTTTACCAACATACCAAATAACTTATTAACAATGAAATGAAAATGTACTACTTTGTTTAAAAAATTGTATTTAGTTGAAGCGTAAAATAAAAAGTTAGGAAAAATCTACCTGTAACAAAAAATAACCGGTCTAATACTTTTTAAAAACGGCTTGTTTTGAGGAAGTACTCAAAATTGATGTGCATTTGTATTTTAAATATTGTTTTATTATAATAAAATAAAACACTCTTTTCTATTCTAGAGAGAGGTTCAAATAAAAGAATATTGTAATTCAAATATAATTTTCACCACTATAGAATTAACTAGTTTTCCAAACAATGTTTATTAATAATGCATTAGCTGAGATGGAGTAGGTGTATATATTGAATATTTAGACGTGTTTACGTTTATAACTATTAATTAGAAGAAATTTAATCAAAACCTATTTTGTCCTCTTTTGGACCAATTTTATTACTAACCAATAAAAAATATCAATAAATTAGATAATCATTTTAAATTCTAATTTAATCTAAATTTTTAAAATTGACACTAAAAAAAAAATCATTACTCTTAAATTAATTATCTATTTTTTTAGTTCCAATGCATAGCTGAGAAATTATTGATTTTACTCTACAATGTTTTTTTTGTGTCATTATACACGATTACTTCCATCGTACTGGACTGATTATGTTCAACACTGCGTCAAAAGATAACAAAACGTATATAGTTTGAGCTATCAGTGCCTTAATTTTGAAAAATTCCACTCGATCCCAGCAATAAAAAGAAATCTCTTAAAATGTATTTCTTAGTTATCAGCGATACACACCCTTACCTTTAACTAAGTTCAACTACTCCGTAAAAAAATTTAACGTTGTAAGTAAAATCAAAATAACTTTACCTTCTTTACATTTTTTTACTTACCATCCTATGTACCAAGGAACATATCCAGGCCTAAGATTGGATCGCCCTTCGTCCATATTCAACGCTTCTTCGAGCGTATCAAATTCTGTTTTGTATGGAAAATACTGACATGACTTTAACCGATGTGCTTTTGATAGGTTTTTGAATAACTGAAAGCTAAAACTTGCCGACTGTCTTATACTTTGATCATTCGTAACTACTACTGGTCGACCAGTGTATGCATATCTGAATTGTGATGAATACAATTTTATGATTAGTAGTCTATTATATTACTAGAATGACATAACATAAAAGAAAAATCGCCACATTAGTTTCTTAATAAAATTAATTGAATTAAAAAATTGATCACTAAGGGTAAAAAATTGTTTTTCTTGTACATTTTTCAATTTTTTTTAGAGCTCCAGGTATCTTTTTTTAAATAATTTTTCATTTTATATATATATATAAATCTTCTAAAATATTATTAATAGTTTCATTTTATACAAACCTACTTAAAAAGTATTTTGTTTTATAAATAAACTATTAAATAGTTAAATTTGTCGATAAATGTTATTGACAATATCAAAAATTACAAATTTTCTAATATTTAAATTTTGTTTCTAGCGTTTTTTAACTTTTAAGTCTAATTTGGTTCAAACAAATATGTTTTATCAAAAAGATACAGTGGATTATATTTTTAATAGTCTATTAGGCATTATTACTCACTCCTTTTCAAATGTTTCAATTGACAGATTAGATACTACATCAATAGATTCCAGTCCGATACAAAATGAACAATTAATTGGTGGTCGAAGTACATCTTCGAAGAAATCTGGCAATGCCACAGCACACTGTAATTATTATTACTGTAATTATTATTACTGTAATTATAGGTCAGGCAACTATATCAATAAATATAATGTAAAAAGTTATTATTAAATAGTTAATTTTTCTTTTTTAAAAACACTTAATTTACTCTATTTCAAAAGGACGGGGCACTAGTTTAACTTTATAATACGGCCCTAAATTTTGTAAAGCATATTTATAAAATAAATTTTGGGGTTTCTGTAATAAAATCAAAAAAAATATATATTTTTAACTACCTCCATATAAGGTCTAAAATACTCTATAGACCTAAGGGACATATTAAGTTTTACAACACCTCTAAAATTGTACTCTTTCGCATTTTAAGTATTCAATTTAAAAATATGTGTGCTTATTTATTTTAATTTTTAAATAATTTTTCTTAAATCTCTTTAGCAAGCTAAATAATGTCAATAAAAGTAAGGTGTAATATAATTATTATTTTATCTATTTAAGATAATGTATAGTATAGATTCATGTATTGTATAAATTTTGACTTGATGTTCTTATGTCTTCGATTCTTGTAACATTATAGTGCACTCGACTAAACAGCGTATTATCTTTAAGACGCATGAACGAATAATACATTCGATTAACCAACAATATTAATTTAAAAATATAGGAAGCTTATATGGAACTTATGATTATTGATTTTCATATGGTTCACCGTAGAGAAAATAATTTATCTATTTAAAAAAAAAATTATTTTTATTTTAAACAAAACAAAATAACAATATAAACTAAAAAATAAATGAATCTAACTTCACTTGATAAATGTCTTAATATTTAATTTTATAAAAAAAAAATTATATATATAAAAAACAATTTAATAAACAGATTTTTATTAATACACATTAAAAAACATGAAGTACAAAAGAAAACAGTTTGAAATAATTAAATTTTATAATAGTTAAAATTTCAAAGGCTGTGCAGCTCTGAAAACATTTTATGATATGGTCATTAAAGGAAACACACAAATTATTTTGGATTTTAGTTAAACTAATTAACAATGGAATTAAAAAATAATCTTAGTTAAGTATTATGAGCTACAAGATACAGTACAAATTTTTATTTTGATCTGTAGATAATATGGAGCTGATTCATATTGAATTACTTTGTTTTTGTAATCATATAGTTTGTGGTTTATTGAACTTTGAGTAAATTACAAATTAGTTTAATTAGTTGTTCACTAATTAAATAACTCATAAACTATTACACATAATGTAAATTATATATATATATATATATCATAATTTAAAATAAAAATATTCGAATAAATATAACTGAAAATTAGTAAATAAGTTTAGATGACCGGTGGGATATTCTAATGTTAACATCATGCTAATCATTTATAACGTAATTTATGAAACATGTACAACTGCTATAAACAATTTAAAATATTTTTTATGTTTTTATGGTAAAATAAACGCTCCAATGGTTTCGGCAACTGCTTTTGCTAATATAACATCATGTTAACGATAAATACGAAATATTCTCTCTTAATGCAATAAAAAATTTAATTATACAAATTAATTTATGATAAATTATTTTGTTTTATTTTAAAACATTTCATTATTCTGTAATATTTACTATTTTTATCTTTTACTTGTTTGTATCCTCCAGATATAAAAGGTGCTATGTTATTTTGCCATACTTGATGCAAACTATCCGATATTTGATTCCAGTGGTTTGACCCTGATATTGCAGATATTGCTATGAATAGAACAAAATAGCTAAGAAAACGTTTAAAAAAACTTTGAGATCTTCTGTTTTTTGCTTCAAGTAAAGCATCTAAAATAACGTCGATGTCTACTGTTTCTAAATAAACTTTATTCAATTGTTTAGACGCTTTCATCGCGTCGACTATTAGAACACTACAACTTTCAGTCTCTACGTAAGCTCTTAGTCTACCCAATATCATATAAACTTGGATTCGCCCCACATCCTATAGGTGTCGTCGTTTTCCGAGTAATATTGAAGAAATTCTTCTCTTTAAAAAATATTGAATAACGAGTACAAATATGAACGTAAAAATAAATAAAATGTGATTGAGATTCAAAAGTGATAAGAATCTACTACTTTTTTTTATTGCTTTCGAATGAAACTTAACAAATGCATGGAAAATAATTATACATAATTTTTGATTATTTTGCGTTTATAATGCGAATGTTATATTTGTGTACCTACATCATTATAGACAAATGTTTTCCGGTCGGGTACCTACTTGGCGGATATCATCTGGACGCTTTCCACAAGCCTCTTGGTGCCCATGGTCTGATTACTATCAAATCGCTAAATTCAGTACCGTATAAATCTGAACACATATCATTATACCATACACTATACAGCTTTTAAGAACGCATACTACGTATATGTACTTAACAAAAATAATTACTAATAAAAGAAAAACGTAGATTATTGAATGAGTAAGGTATCGTTATGGTCTGAGGATCAAAAACGGTTTCACCTTTGTTATTGTGTTAGTTGGTCACTCATACTTGGGACTCACTGTTTAGGGTCAAACACCTATTCTTGTTTTAAGAACTTGTGCACTGTATCGCTCTCTCATTCGCACACATGGCAATAATTCTTATTAACATCGTCATTGGGTGTAGTCATTAAGATTTTCACGGTTTTCTGAGCTTACACAAAATTGAGTATATATACCCAGGTACCACTGTCAAAATCATCATTTCCAAGCAGTTTTTCTAACAAGACGGATCAAACCAGAAATTAAAGTTTTTTGTAATATCCTTTGTTTTAAAAAGATATTGTTTAAACTACACTTTAACATGTCCGTGATCCGTTTGTCGTTATTTTGTGCCGCTTTCGGTCTCGTTATCGCTGTGCCTATGCATCAAGAAACTACACCCGCTGAATCTTCCCCATCGCAGATCGAAGATTCATTATTAGGTTTTGGAAAAGTGTTATGGTCAGTTGTTGATGATTGCTTCGGTGGAGTTTCATCTGAAAGACCTACAGTTTGCTTAAAAAGCCGAGCTCTGATTGCATTAGATCGGGCGCTTAGCAAGCCCACAGTTAACATTATGGAAGGCGTTGCTTTAACAGCTCGTACCGCAAAGTCTGTTGTTGATAATTCCAGCGAAAACAATGATCGTGTTATACTTGAATCTACCAAAGATGTCGACCAAAAGGATGCATTACTTGATGACATGATCGCTAACCGTGTAGACAAGTTGATGGCCACCAGAACAATCGTTTTGGATGGACTTCTTGGACAAGAAGGTGAGACAATCATAAAATGTCTTAATATTGTGTTAATTAACTTAATTTATGAGTTTGAATAGTATTTTTTTGGTATGGCAGTGTTATTACTAACACCATAAAAAAATGTTTATACAATTAAATTAGTTAACGGTTTGAAAATAAAGAATATAATAAATTTTTTATTCGAAACAAATAATTAAAAAACAATTTGAAGTCAATGATTAAAATAGTATTCAAAATGAGAAAAAAGTGCATTGATTTTTGGACGCTATATAATTCAAATAAATGTCTTTGAACGTCCAGAAACCGTCACATCTCGTAGAAATTAGTTATTGAATTATCTGTTAATACATATTTTACTTATTATTTGGTAATTTTTCTTAGGCCGTAAGAAGAAAGACAAGGGTATGCAACAAGCAATGATGATGGCTGGTATGATGGCAGCTGCAATCATGGGACCAATGGCTTTCAAAATGGTTGCTTTGATGGCAGGTAAAGCCCTCTTAATCAGTAAAATAGCCTTGGTATTATCTGGCATCATTGCTCTGAAAAAATTGTTACAACCTCAACAAGGTGGTGAGTCTCATGAATCCGTATCGCATCACTATGGCAGAAGTTTGGAAGTTGACTCTGCCGCAGCTCAAAATATGGCATACTCAGCCCAAAAACAGTAAAATTAAAATGAAAGAAAATCGTTAGCTTATTTAAATTTTAATATTTTATTTATTTATTAACTTATTGTTTCCTACTATATTTATTTATATTATTAATTTATTATTACGTGGGCTCTACACGTTTGAAATATGTATAAACTTGACTTCATTTTTCTAGTAAAAACTCAGTGATTTTTAAATTTCATATGTCAAGAATTTTTATATTTAAAGTAAAAATATGATAAATTTAATAACGTTTTTTTGTTTTGTCTATTTTTTAATTCTATGAATTAATTCACTTGTTAAACTAGTGTCTGTTATAGTGATATACTTGAGGAATGAGTTGACTTTCATAAAATATTTTTGAAGGATAATAAATGTTATTATCACCATTGTATAATTATAACTCAGAATTTTGATATTTGTTTTGAAGTTTACCAAATACTTACTAGGCTACTACATAAAAAGTATTTAAGTATTTATTGACAAATCAATTTCATGAAAACTATATGCCAATAGGAAAATATTTAAATTATTTTATGAGTTTGGAAACAAATCCAAATTATTAGTTTTAAATTATTTTATTTTATTAAGGTTTTCATTTGTTTTATAACTCATTATAAAAATGATCATTCAATGTAAATCTTGTACATTTCAAATGAAATTTCTGGAAAACTGATCATATTTTCACTTTTTGTATAAGTTTAATAGTAATATTATGTTTCATATCAACATATAAGGTAATTAGTTAGACGCGGAATAATATGCATTTATAAATTTGTTAATTTATTCTGAACACACCATCAGCTAGTATTTTAAATTACCCTATAAGCTAGTCTAAAATATGACTTTAAAAAATACCCAGTACAATTAGATGTGACATAGTGGCAACCGAGCATAGTCAGGATAAATATAAATTTATATCTGTCTGACACTATATAATATATTTATATTATATCTCTATCATAAAAATAGGAATGTATTTTTGACCAATCATAATATTTAATCAAACTACCAGCAAGATCGTATTTCGAATTAAGGAGACAAGATAGATACATTGGTTCCAAAATATTAAGGGGTCATCTTGATACGTCAAATAGTAATTATTCATTACAATTGATACATACATTTTTTAAATTTTATATATAAAACTAGAGTATTCACGAGGGATTTCGGACCCCCCATTGTCATAAAATAATGGTAATTAGAAAAATTAGATGGTTTAAGCTTCCGTAAAACTTTGAGACTCTTCTTATAGTATATTTCTAAGTATGACACTGAAAGATGGCACTGATTTGATAACTGTCGTAAGCCTTGAGATTCCAAGTCCGACCTAAATTATCAGTCTTCTTTTATTAAAAAATCTGGTCATTTTTTCTCACTTATAATGTTAAGTTAGATTAAAAAAAATGTAGTTGAGTTATAATTTATGAATTACTAAGTTTTAACTCATTTAAGTTATCAGTTACTTCGTATAGTAGTAATAATTTTTTGTAATAAACCAAAAATATAAAGAAAGAATAAAAAATTTAAAAAGAAAAGAATAAGCTAGAAATTGGTAGATTATTATATTTATTAATTTTTAAAAGTTTTTTTGTAGATTGTTTTAATTAATTTTCTCATTAATTGGTTCTCTCATTAATTATTAATGGTTTATCACGCAATAGATTATTGGAAGTTCGAAAGCATAGGTTAAATTGTACTTACCTTACGTCCTATGTAATACAATAATATTTCAAGTAATCCAGTGTTGATTTCTGCATTAAACGCACTGCGGTATACGATTTACACTATTCGTCATGAAGTCTATATAATTACTTACAAAAACGATTCAAGACTTTAAATAATATGATTTAATTACACAAAGTCTACAACTGGTCTTACTAGTGAATGATTCTAAACATTCTATATTTTATTATAAATACAATTTTAATTTTTTTTACTTATTGACTTTTTTTGAGAGTATATTTTATTGAGAGATCGACACCAATATTTCTTAAATTTTCCTATGGCCTGGTCAAAACAAAATTCAGAAATATTTATATCTATGTAAAAAATTTATCAAGGCAGAATTGTGCTGGCCCAATGTGTCCCGGTGCTAAAAAGCACTTTGAAAGGATGCTGCACAATAATCACCAAGACAAAAATTAAACACTACAAATATATTCGTAAGTTTCTCTGTGTTGTCTGCCGGCGCAATGTTTGTTAAAACAAAGACATTAGCAACGAGACTAGCTACCCAATTAGTAAAGCTCACAATAAATTTTTATTATTAAATAAAAATCTCAAGTTAGGTTAGATTTGTTATTAAAATAAAATCATTTTAAGAAGATGTAATGTTTAATATATTGTTTGATATTTATTTCCACAACAAGAAAAATAAAATATTATTAATGATTGAACAAATTAAATTAGATTAAAAGATTCACCAAAACAAAATTCACTTTAAAATTTCTAAGTGTTATTTAGTTTTAAAGAAAAATATTCTAGTCCAAATAAATTAAAAAAAACGGCTAAGTCCCGGAGAGTGAAATCTTGAGTAAAACGTCGTAGATTTTGTGTATTTTAAAATCGTTAAAAGAACTGGTTTAGATGGGGAAAATGGCTTTTTATAGTCTGAAAGGGGTAGCCCAGCGATCTCTACCGTGACTCTGGAAGCTGAGGCCTTGTATTCTAATTGGTTAATTAAAATGGGGTCCCTGCGTGTAGGCGTTACTTAATAATTTCTACAAGAGGGAGATTTTATCGCATAATTAAAGGGTTATTTTGTATTTTAAATAAGAGAACCCTGTTTTGGTGATCTTGTATAATCATAATATGTGACATACATGTACAAATGATAACATCATATTTTATGTTAATATTATATGTAATAATATAATATTACATTTTTAACCTAACTTAAACCAGTCAATAAAAAGCTTTACTGTCCATATAAAAAATAATATTTTTTCATTCATAACGAAGAATAAATTTTAATCATCTATCATTAAAACTACAACAAGGATATCCATTTTTTATCATCTTATAATATTACTAAAAAAAATTATATACCACATAGTTCTGTTATTGCTGTTCAGGACATAGACAGTCTAAAATGTTAAATATTTCGTCAAAATTTTATTTATTTCAGTAATATACTAAAAGTCTACTAAACACAATTATTGAATACTAACATAACTTATTGAAAAATAAAAATAAAGTTACTTATTAAATTATCTAGTTAAAACAATAAACTAATTTAACTTTCTACTTTTTAACGCGTTAGTTCCTATCATTCGAAAAAAGTAAAACAAAAACTTCTATACAACAACGACTAATTGTGCAAAAAGATTGTATTGTAATGTTCAATTTAAAATTTAAATAATTTTTTTTTCTTTTTTTTTACTTTGACCAAAGTTTGAGCAGCTAATTTACATCGTATCATTCTACATAAAATACCTTGACGTAAATCCGTTAAACTTTTTACTAAATCTTTTGATTTATACTAAAAAATATAAAATTATTAAAAGTTTTGATTTTTATGTGTAAACTCATTTAATTAATGTATTTTAAAAAGGAAAAATAATTAAAAATAAATTATCAATTATCTTTCATAATTTAATAGGTAAAATTTATCGGAGTTTTGAATGAATCAATTTTTTCTAAAAAAGTTATAGTAATTAAAATTTGCGAAAAAAAAAATTAGTTTTTTTTCAAAATTTTTAATTTTTGTTTATAAGAATAATTAAGGTTCATTCAATTTTTGATGGTAAAATCTTTAGAGTCGTAGATGTGATTCGGGTTCTTTTGATGCATATAAACTCTCAATTTTTTTTTAAATAGTAACTTAATTGTGATTTTTTTTTGCTATTGTTAGTTATATGTGTTATTCCAATTATCATTAATAAAATACTTTTTATATTTACGCTTTATATCTTATAGTGGTGTTAACTTTATTTTTTTAAATGACAACCTTCATATATAACTAGTTTTTAAAAAATAAAATGATCTAATCAAGAAAATAAAGTTGAAACATTAAAAGAATTAACCTGTATTTTCGAATTTTTATGCCCGTTTACATTTATCCCTTACGGGTATTAAATATTATAAATAAATAAATATATCACGCTTTAATTATTACTTATTTTAGATATTTAATGTAATTATAAACTTTAATTATTTTATGTACTCCTATTATTTCCCTTTTTATAAAAAAATAAGATTTATTTGTTGATTATAAATATTTTTATAAGTAATTTTTGAAGCTATTAATGTAGAGTTGTTAAAAAAAACGTATTTAAAAAAAAAAAACAGCATGTTTAAAACATAAAACATAACAATCCTGTTTTAATGTATAACTTTTATGTATATGAAAAGGAAAGGGGCTGCTTTTAAAAAAATCCAACCAATGATTTATCATAAATTATAATTTTAATATTATAAATGAAATTAACTAACGATGTTCAGAACTTTTTTATAATTTCTCCATAAATTATTTGATTATTGATTATCAATTTCAAACTATATTTAATTACTTTAATCAGTATTTATTATGTATTATACTTATAAATTATAAAACTTAACAAAATCAGGATACAATATCATTTGCTGTTGAACTATACCACGTTTCAATTGTACCGCGACTTCACAGCTCTAATATTTTTTATCTTAAAAGGATTTCTTTTCATGACGCATTACATTATATACTATGACATTTCTATAACTTTGACCATTCAGTAATTTAATATAAATCTAGAAATACTTTATTTTTAATTCGGTAGTAGTGTTTATTTTATTAAATTATACGACTACAATTATCACAGTTATAAAAAGGCAAATATATATATATATATAAAACACAAACACAAATTCAGTTCACATTGCATTAATTTAAATGTCAAAGAATAAACATTAAAAAAAATATAATTTATTAATAATATACGTGTAAGTACTAAAATAAAGTTAAATAATTAAATTAAGACACAAGTGTATTAGTTTTGTAAAAATATTACATAGTTACACATTTTGGCTTTACTTTAAAGATATTTTTATGATAGTATCATATATGTGTTTTTTCTTTTAAACAGTATTTAATTTTTGCCGAAAAATATTATTAATTATATATATATTCAAACTCGCATACGTAACTTAATAATTTAATTATTAGTTTATCATTAATTCAATTAGAATTTTTATACAATGTTTAAAATTTAATTAATATTATTAAAAACTGTATAGCAAATGAATATGATAAAATAGAGACTGTTAAAGTAATCTAGTATTAATTTTTAATTTAAAATACAGTTATATTTTCATATTTTGCCTGGAATTTCAAAAGGAGTTCCGAAAATGTACAGTAATATAATATAGGATATAACAGAAGGTTTTAAGGTAAAAATAGGAGTGTACCATGGTGCTGCTTTAAGCCCTTACTTTATTTCTAGTGATGGATGAAATTACTAGAGAAATACAAGGAAAGGTGCCATATTGCATGTTGTTCGCTGACGAAATAGTATTAATAGCAGAAATAGGGAGGAAATTAATCAAAGGCTAGAGGTGCTGAGATTAGTTCTTGAAGAAAAGGAATTACGAATAAGTAGGAGTAAGACAGAATATATAGAGTACGGTTTGACAAAGAAGAAGACGAAGTAAGTGAAATGAGGAGATCAGTGACAATAGGTGAGGACGTGATAGGAGAGGTGGAAAGTTTTAAGTATGTAGGATCAGTTGTGAAAAAGAACGGTAATATTGACGAAGATGCAAGACACAGGATTAAATACGGGTGGGTGAAGTGGAGAAAAGCGTCTAATGTGTTATGCAATAAGAGAATTCAAATAAGACTGAAAGGTAAGTTCTATAAGACTGTAGTGAGACCAAATATGATGTTCAGAGTGTTGAGCAATTGATAAGAAAGTAGAGCAGATAATGAGTGTAGCAGATATGAGAATGGTGGGATGGATGAGTGGAGTGACTAGAGAAGATAGGATAAGGAACGAACATATAAGGGAAATATAGATGGATAATCGAAGATAAGATGAGAGAAAATAGACTTAGCTGGTTTGGTCATGTTTTGAAGAGAAAACAATTGGAAGCTGTATGAAAAGTTATAGAAATGAACGTTGAAGGAAGAAGAGGTAGAGAAAGACCAAAAAAGAGATGGAGGGATGTATTGAATGCAACATGAGTTATATTTTTACATTAAAACATTAAAATTAGTTTATAGTTTTAAATATTTTTTATAGATAACTTAAGTAAATTTTTATTAAAATCATGCATAAAAAATTGTTATTGTTGGTAACATTAAAACAAGTTATATTATTATAATCATTTGAAGTTTTACATTTAAAATAGGAAAGTTAATAAAGTTAGACCTATATAAAAACTTAAATATATATATAAGAGTTGTTAGTATTTATGCAAATACATTTGTCCAAAACAAAATAGCAGATACTGAAATAATTGTTAATACGTTCATAGATGTGACTTTATCTTGACCAGAGCCACCTGTATTTTTACCCAATACAGTATACTTTAGTTCTTCGCGGATTTCCTCAGTGTCGACGCGCATATGATTATTGTTCTTATTAGTTCGTATATCTTCTTTTGGTTGTATATCTAAACTGTTCGAGTTAGCTTGTTTTTCTTCACTGTAAGGAATTCCTGTGTCTAATTTAACTGTGAAATAAAAATTTTAAATCAATTAAAGTTGTATAACAATACTAAAATTTTAAGTATTGGCTTAAATTTGGAGATATTGCTTAAAGAATTTTTAGTATCATAGTTAGCATTCAGTATTTTTCTATAGATTATATCAGAATAGGTTGCGAATTAGATAAATATTTCTAAAACCGTATTTACAACTTTATACAAGAATAATGCTAATAGTTTCAGCATTTCATTCTTTTTGGTTACTAGATCTGGGTATACCAGGATATTTGAATAAATGATTACTGAAAGGAAATATATACAATTCTGTATACTGCACTGAAATCTAACGATATTATTTATAATAATGATTAGAACTTTTACGGGTAGAATACAATGTAAAAATAATATGTTATTATACCTTTATCTTGATCTATTTCGTTTTTGTATTCAACTTTAATAAACGTTGTCATAGAAACTTCAAAAACTTTGTTGGGATCAGGTGGTATACCACTTATTTCTCGCCTTTTCCTACCAAAACCAATTTTACCATTGCTGCAGTCAACCTGAAACATAGTTGTTGTTTAGTAAATAAAATAATTTTAGATTGTAATTTTTTTACTCTAAAATCAAACTATTAAAAAAATATAACTATAATGAGTTGATTAACAATAAAAATAAAGTATTTGCTTTTCTCAAATATCATTTTCAATATGATTTTTTTTTGTATGTGCTTTAAATAGTTTACACAGGCGAAATATTCTTATATCATAACAACAAAGAGTAAAATGTCAAATTTTTATGCTCTAGTGGAATTGTATAGAAAAATATACACAGTCATTAACTTGTATCTTTTAACCTGGACAGTTAACGATAATGATTATTTTATTACAAGAACTTTGTATAACGGTGTGTTATGTATAACTACACAATGCATACAGATGATGATATACAAAAAAAAAAATTAATTGTATTATTTATCATAAAACAAATAAATCTCCCAATATTTCTTCATGTTATTATTTTTAAATTCGTCAAAATTTAGATTTAAGAAACCATAAATAATCTAATGAAGTGGTGAAATCAAAAGTATTTGTAAAAAAAAATTTTGATTTTATTATATTTTTTAATGGTATTTTGGAAAAAAAATTGTTTTTGAATTTGTATTCAAATAAATTCCAAAAAAACTGATTTAATAATAAGTTTACTTACCCCGCGGCATTTGTCTAGGCAAACGTTTACAGTGCCTATGAACTGTACGTAAGTTGATTCTGGAAATTTAAATGCTCTAAATTTAGCAGTTAACATGTCACCGTCAGTTGTATTAAAGTTTTGGAATAATAACGGATCCAAGGAACACCTAAATGAATTTAATTAGCAAAAAGTTAAAAAATTTTTTAAACAAAACCCTTGGTTCATCTGAGTATGTGAGATTTAAAGTATACCCGTTAAATATGATGGTTTCTTCCTGAGCTTTGGTATCTGTAACTTTCATGTAACTAACCAAAAGTCCATAGATAGGTGCGCTTTCTTTGTCTAAATAAATTTCCATTTGTAACAGTGTTTGTGGGTTGACATTTAGCTCACCATCAACAATATTTCCATCTTGCCGTACACCAATCTTTAACATGGGCACCGGAGCATTTTTAGTCAGAGTAGTGATCTCTAAATCTCTAATTAAAAAAAAAAAGTAAATCTGAATTTACTATCAACATTTTTTTTATGTTTCAAATGCAGTTATAATCAAACAAATAATAAGAATTGTTTTTAAATGAAAAATCAATATAAAATATATAGAATTTTCATTATCAATACGATCACGTTGCATCTCTTTACTGGTGTTTATAGTAAGTTAATATTAACATGTAGGACACATACTCTGGTTCTTGAAAACCGGCAGGAAGTACATTCCTCTTTGTCATTGTATGATTACCACTCTTACCACCAAACCAACATTTAAAGTCCAAAAACGATTTGTAAGATCCCTCATCTTTTTCAATAACAACTTGATGGTAATATGTGACTGCACCCTATTTTGAAAAATAAAATTAATTTTTTTATAATTTAAAATCAAAACCTTTTGATTCAAAAATAAAAAAGTAAGCTGTATAATAATAATAATAATATATCTTACAGTTCCTTTATTGGTCACTTTAGTAATTCCGCACTGATAAAAGTCTTCGAGAGATAATCTGAATTTTATGAGATCTTCTTCAAATATTGGTTTGCAAGCTTTAACTGTCATAGAAACATATAATAAGTCAATAGATCTATTAAATGTTTACCTATACATTTTTATAATACATTTATAATTGTTCGTTGTGGTCTAATATGAATTTTCAGGAAACTATTATTTACTATAGACTAACGATAGTCTCAAATGAAGAAGACTTCTCTCATGATACCCTCCCTCCAAAAATATAAATCATTTGTAAAGACTTTAGCCCTATAGATTTAACGTTTATAATTAGATGTGTTTTAAATAATTAAAATCGGATGTTTTTTTGAAATAATTTTTTTTTTTTTGATAGAAAATTTATTAAAAATTGTCTGTTATTCCTTACTTGGATAGAATTTCAACTTGCTCAAATAAATACTTTTGATGTCTTCAGTTCTTTTGATGTCAATAGTCATAACATTATTGTCACAATTAATTTTATAATTCACTGAAATAAATTAAGAAAAACAAAAGATTAGTCAAACAATAATTTAATTCCTTTTAATGTATTGCATTTATTAAACAAATTGTAATAAGTGAAAACATTTTTTTTTAAGATGATGTTGAATAAATATTGAGTCTTATGGAGTTTATCATAGCTGCCGGTAAAATAGTTTTTCAATTGGAGTATTTGTTTACAAAAAAAAACGTGATTTATATAAATTATACAGTGATCTATAATTATGTTGGCTTAGAATGATTGAAGATACCACATCACAATCAGTCGTAATCATATGATAATCATCTCAGTAATTTTAAATTTACCGAGGGCATAATGCCTACTTCCTATACAGCCGGAAATGTTACACCAATGGACATATCCCGATAGCCTTAACGGTACTAATCCCGTGAAAATAATTATGCTGTGCATCTATGTTACTTAAAAAAAACGTGGATTCAATGCTTTTTGCGATTTTCTTATTATTTAGTAATCTATTGAAACATACAGAAACTATAAATTTCAATATTTTATAGCTCAATAATTTTCTTAACGTATAATATTTTACGGTTACGAAATTAGAATTTGTAATAAAAAATATGTCAATATTAATGCTCTAATAAGGTTGCAATATTTTAAATACTGCGTGTTCAAAACCGAAATTTTCAAAAATTACATTGATCTTATGGTACGATTTAAATGTTTAAAACAGGTTTTCTCTTTTGAATATGATTTTTAACTACCCTGTACTCTATATAACTTTATCTTAGTATAGTAAGATTCAATATATTCTCACATAATTATACATAATGACTGAAAACAGATAAAAATTTAATCCATCACTATAAAATACTAGAAATGTAAATACACTGAAAAAATTCCTTCGGTAAAATCGACAAGTGCATTATTAAAATACGTTCAGTATACTTTTTGAAATTAATCATAGTTTTTTGTTAAATTAACTTTTACTTTTGATAGAATAACAAAAAGTTAATAAATATTTTGTTAAATTAACAAAAAAAATTGTTAAATTAATAAAAAAAATTACATTTAATTAATTTTTATTTTGTGTTGGGTGGGGTTAAGTTACCTATAGATCCTATAACAGAATACTATGAAACAGGGCCGTACCTAGAATTTTGTTTTGGGGTGGTTTTAATTATTTGATGTTAGTATAAAATTTACAATTATATCATTAAAATAAGTAGGTATAAAAAAACTATCCCAAATGTATTCATAAAAACCCATGATATTTTAATACTACTGTCAAATATTAAAAACACATTTGAAGACTTAATCTTATAAAAACAAAATTTTATTTCACTGTGACTGTAATGTACTATAATATAATTTTTACTTCATGAAAAAAATAAGGTTAAAAATTTAAAAAGTCATTTTGGAGGTGGTTTGAACCCCCAAAACCAACCCCTAGGCACGACCCTGCTATGAAACCATTTGAACTATTCATAATTTGTTGAAAAGTTTTTGTAAAAATATACGTTGTTCTAAAGTAAAAAAAAAAAATAGGTATTTCTTTTACATTCTCGAAAATGTCGGTATAGTTCATATTGAAACAAAATTAATAATAAATAGTATAACCCTTGCTCTACGCTTTCCGTGGTACTTTTCTGCAAAAATCTCGTGCCGTGACCAGGATTCGAACCTGGGTTATTGCGGCCACAACGCAATGTCCTAACCACTAGACGATCACGGCTACACAGGAGAGGAGGCAGAAACTACAGTATATAAGACAGCTACGTTTTCTTAGCGTTAAAAAATGATTTATCAGATTTTTTGATTAGTTACCTGTTGTTATATTTAATATTATTTATATGTAAACAGAGTTTAGATTACTTTAAAATCAAAATTGAATTGGCACCGATTTCAGTTGAAATTATATTGCTCTATTTTATCTGATTGTTCTAATTAAAGAAAAAATATCTAATGATAATAATGTCGGCATTGTTATTTTTTTAAATTTTAAATCATAGGTCAAACAGCATGGTATATATTTTTTTATTAATATTTTCTTAATATTAATGCTTAATTATTAAATAAAATACTTAATTTAAATTTTAGGAAAAAAGTGTGCAAAGATGTGTAGTTACTGATCAATTAATAATGATTAGTTAAAAAATCTATTAATGTTTATCTACGCTTATTTACTTTTTTATTTCTACATAAAATGTATTTGTTAATTTGGATTCTTATGTTATAAATATAACTCTCATAGACCGTTTATCAAAGAAACAGAAAAAACCTATTTTTCATTGTTATATTAACATTTGTACATTTTGGTTTTTATTGTATTACATTTTCGGCCTATGATAATAGTAAAGTGTGTTCATTTGGTATGCACTACCGTATACCAGATATTTAGATATTATCACCAGAACTTGACTTCGGACAACTCATTATTGAGGATATGGATAACGAGTCCCAAGACCACGATTAAGTTCTAAACCATAGTCGATGTGCATTAAAAAATACTACCAGTGTAAACCAATGCAAAAACGTTTACACTGGACTCCTTTTTTTTTTTATTTTTTGTAAAAAAGACTATTTTTTGCTTTTTATTTGATTATAGGAGACATTTTAAAGCGCGGGGTCCTAGGAGAGTGCATTGGTGGCTTTTCTTTTCCGCTGTACATGAATACCACATTGAAAATCAGATGAATTTCTTTCATTATGATAGTTAAGAAAGAAAAATCGAAATTGCTATTTCCATTTAAGGTTTTATAACACAAAAGTGCAATAATGTGGCAATTATATATTACATTTATTAAAATACTAAAAAAAAAAAAAAAAAGTAATAATATAAATAAAGTTCACGAATTTGACTGTTATTGATTTATCATTTGATACTTAAAGTCAATATTTATTCACAGTAAAAATATTCAACGCCGAGCGGCTGTCACGTTATGACGTTGCATTGTTCATTGCTACTTGAAACAGGTACCGCAGTCAATACAGTAAATATCTATTGACTCCTTTCTCTTAAGGTTTCATTTTGGGATAGTTTTTCCGATTTTCTAGCAAAAAAGTATGTGCCGTGACCAGGATTCGAACCTGGGTTATTGCGGCCACAACGCAATGTCCTAACCACTAGACGATCACGGCTCGATGGAAAATCTATAAGAAAACTCTTTACATAAACTATTTAAGACATTCACCTGGACGGATTTTCACCTCCGCATGGTTAAAATTCTGAAACAGCAAATGTGCCGCTAAGCGTTAATATTATTCTTTACAAAGTATCAATACGCTTTTATTATAGGTTGATGTCTTTTTTATGTTTCGTAATTAATATTCGAAATTTATTTTATGATTTATCATTAATTTACATACGAAAATAATAATCTTAACTCTCGAGGAAATAATATTGTCTTTCCTCTAAATTAACTATTTTACACGCGCAAGTGTGATATCAAAATCAGCCAGTTAAAGTATACGTGTACACAGCTTAGTATTCATAAAAGCTATGTGATTAATATCACACAGTGACTATTATATTAGCCAATCGTTTTATCGACATCAGTCTGTTTCTTATTCAAATTAGCATTCATAATTTAATAGAGTTATGGAAAATGTTAATATTTTCAAGTATTTAGTAAAACAAGGTAGATAAACAAGTAGTCCGATAAATAGCATGTTCTTAGATTGTTTCCAAAGGAACCTTAGATTTTTTTGGTTTACTATAACATGTTTTAAAAATAATAATAATAATATTATTATATAATAACTAAATACAATTTATTATATTGTATATCCTCGTACCTTTATTTAAATAAAAATTATTTGTTATAGTAGACATTTTTTTTAAGGAACGAGATGACATACAAAAATTTGCCGAATTATTTTGTTACATAAATGTATTAAGAAAAAAAAAGTTTTTATTTAGTATCTAATTAATCGACTTATTTAAAAATTTTTCATAGGAACCCCTCCTATGAAAATTAGTGACCAACCCCTGTACTTCCTTAAAATCCGTCCCTGATGCCGAATAAGTATTAAAATTTAATATAAAATGTTGAATGTATAATGATTTATTAAAAATAATCTTTCATTTATTTTAGTAATATTACTACTATTATTATATCGTATGACATTATTGACTGGGATTGATTTTTTCGACGATTTGTAACTTCTGTTGCGTTAAGGAAGCACAGTATGGTTGCCGCTAAAATTCTCGAATGGTTACCCCTATTCAAGGACTAAGAGCAAATACCACAACTTAACCTCAATCTATGCACCACACTGGCTCTCGTTTTAGTAGTATTTTATTCTTAGTGATAATATAATACATATTATTACGAATAATAAAAAATTGCTAATAATTTATTAATAATTTCTTTTTATATGAATATAAAAATAAATAACACTTTATAACGAAGTGTTCAATATTTATTAAGGGTCCCTATTTTAAATAGGCACTATACAAATATACCGAATGTCTTCATTAATATGGCCGTGTTATTATATATGATTGTTAATTTCTAAATCGCAGAGCCGAATATTTTTACCCATAAGTAAACACACACTTCTGTTGAATATCACTAAGTTTTAACAGAGTTAACATGTTTTATCATATGTTAAATACAAAATTTTTTAGAAAATTGTTAATAATTTATTTTTTTACCAATTTTATTTATGTGCCAAATAAAATTATGTTAAAATTGTATATGCTTCTAGGTATTTGTTGTGTATATTAAATAATAACGACAGTATTCTAAAGCTAACTCAGTTAATATACTATTAATGTAATAATTACAACTTAGATTAAATCAAATAAAGTGCATTTTGTTAGTATATTGAAATAATGTAATTCATTGTTAATTTCAATATTTTATTAATTAAAATATATAGTTTCGAAAATTGTCTTTAACAGTCTATTGATTTAAAAATAAGTTACTATACACTGAACAATTTTCAATTGTCAATATTATTTGTGCCAGTCAAAAATAATACGTACGTCTATTGATTAATTACTGTGATATTATTACATTCGATGGAAATAAATTTGACTTAAGAATATAACAGTAATCATGTAGCGACAACTCGAGGAATCTCACTTAAGTTGTACTTTTTTCTATTTCAATAATTCAATTTGAGGTGTTGATACTACTCGATATCCGTTGTGCCATATGCAATTAGCGCCGGATTAAGGGGAAAGAGACAAAAGGACAGCTGCCCTGGTAGTCAAATTATTTGAAGAAAAAAACGTAAAATATTATCTCTTTAAATAATAGTGAGACTAATATAATAGTAAATAATTAATGTAATCATATAACTCTAGTTAAAATAGCTGGATGTCTTTTAGTATCCACAGAACTTTTATGTTTATTATGAAATAAATATTGTGTAATTCGAAATATGCTCTTGATAATATTTTCAACATTTATCAAAAATAGTATTTAGAAATAGTAGAACACATGTGTACCTATAAGATTATTGATTGATACAAAAGATTTTTCTTCTTAATTATATAAATAACAATAGTTAGGAAGTCATTTCATTTATAAACATTAATAACTGTAAGTCGATTAAATATGATTTAGCAATTGTGTTTTAATTGATTAAACTGAATATTTTCAGTTTTTATTTTATAATTTTCAATTGTATACAAGCCATTAAACTAAAAATATTTATATCATGTATAAATATATGATATAAATATTTATATATAAAAAGAATAATTAATAGGAAATTTACCTAAATATAGAAATGTTATTTTATTGACAACTATACATTATACTGCTTTAATAATTATAATTATTGGGGAAGGCTATTTCAATAAATAAAAATATACTCCCAAAAATAATTAAAGAAGATGTAATTTTCATATATAGAAATTTCTTTATTTCTTTTCCAAATACAGTATCACGGATATAGTTACCAGAAGTATCAAACAAATCAGATGTGAATTGTTTACCATTCGTTTCATATGTAAATATTGTTGATTTAACATTAACACTACCCTGAATACACCAATTATTCAAAATAAAAAACAAATTTTAATAAATTACTAATTTTGAAATACTATTCAGCAGCAATAATGAGTACAATAGAAACCTATTTTCTTATTTATTAAACACTCAATGTGTTATATTCTGTAATATTGAAGTATGTATACTGAGTGATTGGTTTGTCATAAACCACTCTAATACTCGCAAAATCAATACAATATTGAAAAAAAAAATTAATTTTTTTTTAGTTAAATATATTTTTAGATTTATCAGCTATTATTTACTTTTTATAATCATCCTTTTTAAAGGCAACATACAGTTTAACTAGCTTAGACATTATTGATAAAAGACGTCTAGACAGTTCAAGATTTTTTATATATAACTTAAATATTTAATTATATCTAATATTTTAATGTCTAAATATTTCTTTTATATTTTTGTTTAAAGTTCTTATACACTTTAATTGTACTCTGTTTACTCTAATAATTTTGAAGAATTACATAAAATATAAAAGGTTATTTAATTGGATTAGCTCAAACTAGAGCCGTAGTTTAATATTTTAAGCAGTAAATACCTTGTTATGATATAATTTAATTTTTAACTATACTTTTGATATACTTTATTTATACTTTAAATAGTTAGTTTTGTTCATCAGAACTACTTACCAGAAACTATCTTAAATTTTTGAATTTGTTACATTAATTGAAACTTAATCATTTAGATTTCATAATTTAAACACAAATTATTATTTAATTTCGTAAAATTGACAAAGTCAATGTATTACTTTTAATATTAAGTTTTAATACTAACATAATGAGTTAATTTTTAAGCAAAATGTTTTGTTTGGAGGGGAAAGTGAAAAATTTTCTTATACTCCTCCAAGACGAAGCCTTAATGACACCATTGGTTATTATATCCAGTATTTAATAAACGGGTTATTTTTATTAAAATGGATAAAATTCTTTTTCTTTTCATCTCACACTTGCCATTTACATGTGTAATTTATTTAATTGATTTTAGATTTTTCATCAACACGAAGCTATTTATTATGAACTAAGATTGACGTATACTTTTTGTTGAGTAAGTTTTTTTATTAGATTTAATAGAACCTAATAAGACTACATGATTTTAATCACTGCTTTAAGCGTGAGAAAACTGTTTCAGCAATGGAGACATATGTAACCTGTAACTACAAGTTATCAAATTTGTCTGAAGAAAATTAGCATTTGTATGTTAATACACGATCGTAAGAAGCTTAGAGTGTATTATTAGGATGTTGATGATTAATATGTGGACGAAACAAATCATTTCTTTAAAAATAATTTCAACAATTATTGTTAATATAAAAAAACTCTAGGTGCATTGCGTGTTTTTAATTCATTACATTTTGTTTGTCAAAAACTTAAAAAAACAAAGCAAATTGTTGGTCTAAATACATCTATTTAATAAGTAACACTCCGCGTATAACATAATATCATAAGTTTAATTTCTTAAAAAGATGTTGATGGTTAATTGTATAAATATGTTTAATTTTTTTAAAAATTAATTCAGAGTAAAGGAATCATAGCTTGGAGATAGTAAGTTTCAGTTTACCTATTAATAATACAGTCATCATTAGTCATTGTAATTGTTAGTCAGTGTATAGAAAATCCAAAATAATATCAATAGCCTTATAAATTCAGTTTAAAATTTCCTTTTGCTAATATGCTTTCAGCTAAAAATGTATGTTTGCTGTAATATTAATTTTTATTATTACTTTTTACCCGTATTTTTTAATCAGTCAAAATTTTATTAATCCTGAATAATTATAATGATACATAACTAGTATTGGTGAAGATGACACTTTTGTACCAAAATTTGGTAGGAAATTTAATGTCCTTTCATAAATATAGCACTGTTTGATACGATTATTAATAAAAGTCGAATGACTTCCGTTATAATATTTTATATCAATTGTTCTTTTATTTTTTAAACTTATGAAACAGAATAATAGTAAGTGTTGTTGGTCTGGTGGAAGACAGTCAACAATCTCATTATTATTTATACACTCACACGCGTATCATTGTATAATTAATTCAAATTCATCATATGATGTTTTATATTATTGAGTAAAATAAAAAACTAACAACACAATCCATCTCCGGAATCACACACTTGTGCGCACATTTATACACGACACATAAAACCTTTCATGCAATAAGTTTATATTAAAATATTTGGATACTTTAGTGATGCACTATACATTTTAACTATATTCATATGATTCACTTCTCACAAAATATAATATTGTTGTGTAGACATTTGAGAACAGATGTAGTACGGTTAATAAAATCACATTAAATTACTATTGGTTGGTACTGTTATAAGTATAAGTATATACTTGAAAAGTATTAAATTCTTTTTAAATAATGTCTTCTTAAATTAAAAATTCTTTATTACCTTACATTAAATTAAAAATTTGAGCATTCAAATAAAAACACGCTAGGTAATTATAAAATTCAATTATAATGTGTACTTGGAAATCAAGTAATTGTCCTAGTTACATTTTATGTTATAAACTATTGTAATTGGTAATAGGTCTGTGTTTAAAAGATGGTTCGGTCAGACATTTATTTCCCAAAAAAATGTTTTCTAATTTTGATAGTTAAAATTTACATAATATTTTATGTTCATCAAATTTATTTTAAGATATCATCATAAATTCAATAAAAGCTTGGAAAATAGTTGACCTGAAACGAAAAATATGATGGAAAAAAATATTGACTTTTTTTTTTGTTCATCAATATTATTTAAAGGTTGATTGTGAAAAAATTTAACGTCTCTAAAATTCATGAAGCCCTTCCAAGACCAAAATTTTAAATATGACCCTGGCAGTATGCAACTACTGTATTTTCAAATTCGCATACATAGAGAAACTGACATCGTATGCATCTTTATAGTTCCAAGGTAAGAGAATAATGAGTAATTATCCTTGTGTTAAGTACTTTACTTTACAAACAGTATGTATACATAGTACATAATATATACTATACATACATGGTTATTTTTAATTACACACGTGACAATTTATAGACACATAAAAAAATAAAAACACTTTATTAAGAAAAACAATAATTAAATATTATATAACAAAAAAATTTAAGTAACAAAGTAATAGAGAATAGGAGAAGGATTATTATTATTTTTTTTTTTGATATAATTATTATTATAACTATGATAAATATGAATTGTTTATGTTACAAGGCTGCCGAACTGACGAACATAATAATTTGTGATAATTTCATGTTTATATATTATAAAATTCGTCTGGCGCAGTGTCATCACCATAGCGCTGATGTTCAGCTACGCTGTTTGCTGTTAGTTCGCGGATGGGTTACCATAGGGAACTTTAACAGTTACACAACTTGCTCTTAGACTGGCTCTCTCAGACAAAATGAGGTTGATTTAAGTCGACAGCCGGTGTAAAAACCTGTCAAATCGTAAGGTAAAGCTAACCATAAATATTTGGGATAGAGGCTAAGGAGATGATAATATATAACAAAACATATCGCATAACAATTTTATCGCATTGGAAGAGCTCTCGCTACAAATAAATGCGTTCTAACAGACAAGATAATATATGTGTTTTTATTGTTTTTTTACCCGGGTACGAATCAAAAACCGGTTGTATGGACTTGCTTTCAGAAAGTTGATGATGGTATTGAGACACTCACTCTTTTTGATAACATTGATAGGTTTCAATGTCACAGTCTAATGGTCTACGGACGTGTAATGCACTTGAATTTTTAACGTTACACTAAAGAAATTTTAATCCGTTAAAATTCAATAAAACTATATTCACATTTACATTCCATCGTTAATTTGACATTAATATACACTTAAATGCTGATGGGAATAACGTTTTATCGTTTACCAATAGACCGCAGTCTTATTTGCATTCAACGGAGTCAATGTTGAGTAACATTAAGATGGTTTTTTATTTATTTATTTTTACTTTTCTGCTCCACTAAGTATGTAGTCATCAAGATTTTACAAGTTAATTTTTTGTCATGCTGATCTAATAGCCGTGTATCAGCGCACAACCGTAACTCAAACACACACTGTTGACTTTTAATTAAAATTAAGATTAAGTTTGCATACATCTTAATTCAAAATACATATTTTTCAATTTTAGTAATCTGTGTTAACAAAATATATTTTATTTTTTTTTTTGCTTGTTTTTTCAAGCGCAAAACCAAGAATATTTCAATCGATGATTTGTGTATATGTTATTCGTATATAAATAGGCTTATAGTCTATACAATAAGACACTTAGGCTATAAAGAATCTATTTGTCATTATAATACGTAATATATAGATAAAAATGCGAATAGTAAATATATTACCGTTATAAGATGTTTTTAGGATGGGCGTTTATTTAAATTTGTACAGTAAGGTTTGACTAAAGATTTTTATGACAAACGAGTTTTAAAAGTCAATTCGTTTTACTCTTTGATAAACTTTAAGTAAAAAAGTTGTCTTGTTCTTTAAACATTCACAAAGATAAGACCACAATAAAACAAATAACATATTATAATATTTAAAATTTATTGTATTATAAACTTTAGATAATAATTTTTAATGAAACATTTTATGAACTACAATTACAGTTTTTTGTAGTGTGTTAGCAGAAAATTAATCTTTAGAAGTGAAATAGTCAGACGATCCGAGTTAAGTTACTTTCCATACGCATGCCTATTTTAGGAACGTCAACCATTTTGTAATCCATCTGCTTACAGAATTTATATTTTCCTATTATACTTCTATATAAGTAAAGTGTACACTAGGAATGTAATAAATATTTAGTACGTATCCGGTTCATAAAAAATGTAAAAAGTCAATAGTTAATTATTGATGCTGATGTTTTTACTTAACGAGAAAATTTAGCTATGTAATAAAAATTATTATTGCACAACGTTAAATGTTTGAAAGTTTCTTTTTTTTTAAATATTTATTACGTTATTTATAAAATTATTTCACTTCTACAGAAAAAACTTCGTCGAATATTAAATAATAAGTCATTTCAAATAGCTGTAAATGCTCAAAATAATCTGTTTTGAAAATAAAAATTACCAATAAATCAATTTGATTTTTTGAAAATTTGAAACATTTATATAATAATTAATAAATGGATTTTTAGTTAAAATAATAAATAGAGTTAAAATAATTGTTTTCAATTATATCTATTGGAATTTTTTATAATAATTTTTGTACACTTAGAAGGTTTTTTTAGATGTGTTCTGTTGTGCATGACTATAACTGTCTTTTAGGTGAAAAAATTTCCGTTGAACTAATACTTCAACTTTGTATCCAACAAAGATTTTGAGAAAAAAATAACTGGGTAATAAAATGAACTGTTATAATTGTTGCGGTTCATTGAGTATTGTCATTGCTGCACTTATTAAACGTTACTTAACTACCATTCGCTATGTCGAATCAATCTATTAAAATGGTCAATTGTAGAAGTATTTTATTTTTTAATATAATATTATACAATAGAACGCGATGCTATTATTTAATAACAGACCACACAATAGACAAATTATTTTATGACAAGTCATAACAGTCGCTAACATTATCTCTGACAAACTGAGAGTTCTCCTAGAGTGTTTTGAAAGGTAGGTCCTCCCAAAATTCACTTACTAAACGTTCATTGAAGTTATTAGGGGTCGGTATTTTTAGAATAAATTGTGCTCATTAAGGTACTTGAATTAGAAAATTTTACTTCAAAATTTTTAATAACTAAATGAAATAAACATTTGAACATCATTTTTTAATGATAATGTTTTTGATGTGCTCTAATTTGTTTTTAATGAGATGGTGATTATATTACTTTTACCACTTTATTATTATTGTTACTATTACAATACTATATATATATATATTTAAAACATTATGATTCAGTATAAAATACATTATTATAACAATACATTTGACTCAATAACGATGTTTTAAATTTCATAGGCAGTGATGAATTTTTTTCTAGGGAGGGCTCTAAGCATTGGTGAAAATGTTTATATGTGATTTTTCATGAAATTCTACAAAACAGAGTTAATGAGCTATAAAATAAATGGTTTTCAACTCAAAATTAGATTAAATATCACGACAAATAAAAAAATAGCTGTATTATCTTGTCGCTACAAAATCGTCTTGAGGACTATCAAAATGTTAAAAGAGCTGCAGTTCCTCTACAGTATTACTTGATTCAACACTGTACACAGATAATTTACTTTGACTGGTTAAACCGCTATAATGAGAGATTATTTATAATTAATGTTCTCAATAATAAAAAACGTATGAATGAATGTTAAG